ACAACTGGCTTTTGCATTGTGTTTGGCATACCTCAGAAAAACAAAGTCCAACAGCCTCTGTGCACAAAGTCCCATTGTGTGAATGGGGAAGGTTAGGGCCAGCAACCCTTGAGGGGTTAGGGTTAACCTATTTGAAGTATGGCAGATACAAAGAGCTCTATAAAAAGACCTAGAGTGCGCACTTCGTAGTCAATGTATGTAGTACTCTCGTGTGCTGACGTGGACGCGCAGCTGCCATTGCCATTGTGGGCGGAAGTAAGCTAAAAGTGCCGGGAAGTGATATAACTGCGTGCTGCATTTAAACAGATTTCACAGCGACCAGAATGTGCTTCTGTGAATGTGCTTCTGTGAATGTGCTTCTGTATCTGTATGCGAATGCTTTGCGTTTACGGATTTAGTCGATTACAAAGACCATTTGCTTTTTTTGTTGGATGTTATAAGAGGAATACTAACTATCACAAAATATTGTTTGGGGTTTAATCTTCCATAAATATGTCAAGTTTACCATCGAATACCTACGTATCACGAGTTACGAGCAATACGATCACCGTTTGCATGCACGCATCTGGCAAAATTTGAATTTTTTCATGGTGGCTATGGCGGTCATTGCTTCAGGTCATGTGACAAGTACGTACTCTAGGTTTTTTATGGGGCTCTGTGACAGACACAATGGGAGGGCACTACTTGAAGTGGGTATTTAAATTTGAGCAAACACAAAAGATTTTACCTGGGCAAAATAGCGCCCTCTTATTGTGTCTAATCATGCTTCAAATAGGCTAATGTGTTTGTGCCCATTCAGATGAAAATGTAATAAAACAATTTATGCAATACACATGCAAGCCAGTATGTATATTATGTGTGATTTTTATTGGCACTCGTGAATAGGTCACAGAACATCTACATTAATCAATTCCTGTCCTATGCAATATTCAGTTTCATCTGAATTCAACCAAAAATTTCTATACCCCAATGAGAATGATAGACTGATAAATCATTGAACTGAAGAACATGTACTTATTCAAATTTTTTTCTAAAAGCTGGAGTTTTTCACAAGCGATACAGTAAAGCTTACTCAAGTCAGTGATACGCCACATGGTTTGCGAGGGCTTTCTATAATCTGTTCTATAATTTTGAGCATCACCCATGTCTTTCAGCCTACGTTCAGAATTGGTAGGCACTGCCTGGAATTAAATAAAATCTACATCTGAGATCTGTAGAGAGCAGTGTTTTATTCAAGTCCATCACAAGTCCTTTCATGAGTTCCTTCATAAGTCCAGTCACAAGTCCTTTCACAAGGCCAGTCTTAGGCATGAGGGTGAACAGTGACAAAAGAATGCTTTTGTCATAGCTTATTTGAATAGCTTGTGAATTGGCTTAAGACTGAATGACTTGTGATGAACTTGCAGGGACTCGTGACCGATTCAAATACAACAGTGGTACAGGGTCAATTTTTAAAAAGAAAGGTTTTACGATTCTGAGTTGGAATTTGGACTTGATTCTGCTCAAATCTGGCACTGATTTACCAACATCCAAGCTTCGTTTTGACAGGGCCTCTCAGAATGACAATTCAACACGTAAACATCAACTCCAGATGTGTTTCTGCCTTGGGAGTCTCCTGATTCTTCCCAAATTTATTACTGTTTCTGCTGGCCAGGGGCATATTGTACCCTGCCAGACAGAAGGCTGAAGGTCTTTACATTTAAAAAAACCAATTGTAATTTATTTTGTTGCTATTTACTCTTCTCGTTATAGAGATTGCAGTAGGTATAGAAGTATAAAGACTAAAGTATTCCATATTTTCTCCTTGGCTCCTTTCTCTTCTCTTTTGCTCCCTCTCCAGCAGTTCTACGAGGACGGTGCCCGCATTGAAGCAGCCTTCCGAAAATACTTCCACAGAGCTGACCCTGATCAGGTCAAAGACAGCTATGAGATCCTGGTGTGCCATGCCAACGTCATTAGGTATTTTGTATGCAGGTAAGCAGGGGCGGACCCAGGAGGAGGTTTATGGGGAGGTGCCGCTTCTGTTATGTGTGACACTATGCATTTTGCATAATTTATTTCAGTTTAGTATGAGAAGTATCAGAAGTATCTTATCAAATGCTGGTATGTGTGGCATTTGGTTTGATTTTAAAAGTCGGCAGACATACCTTGGCTTTTTCGGTTGTGGTCTTCTGCCAAAAATAATGCAAATGGTGAATGCTGTATTGTTTGTAGAGTGTGATAGACATGTTCGGTAATCCAAGGCCTAAGGTTTAAGTTAATATTATGTAAAATTTTGTTTGGCTGAATATAGTTTGGGGTTTCTTTTCATAATTAGAAACCTGTTCTGTTTTGTGAATCAGGCAAAAGCTAAAAACAAGAAAGCATAAAAACCCTGAGTTGTTGAATCAGTCATTTGTGGAGTGAATTGATCCAGTATTTTTCCTCAAACCAGGAAGCTTTTTGTTGTTTTTATCTCCAGGGCTATGCAATTTCCACCAGAGGCGTGGCTTCGTATAAGCCTCAACCACGGCAGCATTACCTGGCTAGCCATCCGACCGAGTGGTCGTGTATCCCTACGGCAGCTGGGCGATTGTGGTCACATGCCAGCTTCCAAAATAAGCTCAACATAGTAACATCACAGGCATCACGGGTTGCAGATGTGTCAAGTCAATATTTAGGTTGCAGTATTTTCTCGTTCAGTTAAAATGTGCATTATATGACTCAACCAAAACAGAAAATTAACATACGTCCAGTAACAGAAAATTGACACACCTTGCTGTCAATGTTTTTGGGTGGTTATTGAACATGCCCTCGTTGCCTCTGTCAGCAAACACATTTCAATGTTTGTTGAAGGGTAACTGCTGTTGCAACTGGGGAACAAAATCGTTTTTTTTTTTCTTTTCTTTTTTTCAAATTTGCCTGCCCCAGAAAATTTGCCTGCAGCACAGATGGGTTCAGGACAGTATTTCCAGTGAGGATCACAATCCCGTGACCGAACCTTTCTCTCACATGCAGTGTGCTCACCGATGTTTTCTGCTCGTCAAGCAAATAAGATTTAACTTTGTACGATTTTTACTTGTGCTGCACCAGATCATGAGTGGATGATGGACTAGTTTTTGGATGCCAATTTTCTTTGGGATACCACTTTGCTAGCACCAGTGTGCACAATGTTGCGTGGGATTACCAGTGATTTTCTGCTTTTGTTCTCATTTTTTAATTTTATTTCTTGCATGTTTGATTTTGTTTTGGTTGGTGGGATGACATTTATAACAGGTAACAAACACCTCACGTTTGTAGTGAAGTATTTTACTTTTTGTATTCATCTGATGTGCCAAAGTTCTCACTAATTTCATGTGATTTCTTTCAATTTGTTGATTCCTAGAATAATTCCTGGGTAGCATACATCAGTTTTTGTGGGTATGAAATATGTTAGCAGTATTTGATCAAATTTATTGGCAGGCCTTTACATTACAAAGGGCGTTGGTTTTCTACTTCTTTCTGATAATCTTACAAGAGGTTTGTCAGGTAAAAAACATTTTGGTGCAATTCTATTTTTATACTTCCACATAAGCATGCAGTAAAACTATGGAATCTGACTTGAACGTGGACCGAGACAGACATTCTAACAAATCTGAAATAATTTCTTGAATAGAAAGAACCGTCAAGAAATTATTAAAGTCAAATTGATTTGTCAATCGGCTGTTAGTTTTGAGTCTTAGATTTCAAATTCGTTTTGCCACAGTTCGTCCCCCCACCCTCCCGCTAATCCAACTGTCCAATTCTTTCAAGACATCACTTTCAGTTTGAGAGGGCTGCTACCGAGGGAGGGCCGTTATTCAGTGATATAGATCATTGTTTTTGACTATGGTGGCAGCTGTTTACCATAGGGTGTGCTCTTGTGAACAGACAAGAAAAGGAAGTTACGATTGGGAAACGGCAGTTAAGTCTTAACAAGCTTAGTTTTTCTGGCATCATATGATTCAATCTTAGCATGTCTGACCAACCAGTAGTCCCATTATTTTGGTTAGTCATTCATCAAAACCTAGTAACTCGATCAAAGGCACTATTTCATGCAGAGAAAGGGAACATACTCGGACGTCAGCAATAACTAGGGTCAGATTGGCACACCTCTTTATTAACATGTGACAAAGATATTTCAACAGTAACTTTTATGTGGGTTTACATCCCAATATACAATGTACATGTATTTCAAAGTAAAGGTACTTGCTTGACCAGAATACCATCCCACAGCACAGCACCCTCTACAGTAATCTACACTAATAGCTAGACATTTGAAGAAAGGAAACAGAAAATCAGCTCGAAAGAAAAGCTGTCTTATTGCAGTCAGATAGGGTACATTACAACAGAGCACCACTGAAACCAAACACATTGGATCCATCAGGTCTGGGATATACAGTGATCGTAAATAGCACACCATGTTACTCAACATACCTGCCGATGACCAACACAGTACCCCAGTGTTTTTTTCTCTTATTTTTAAACCATCCATGTTTGAAGTGAGTGATAAGCATTCCGACTCCATGTACATCAGATCAGCTTACTTTTTTGCCTCAGTGGTAATGGACAACTATTCTCAATATGATGTTATCTGCGGGCTGCACATTAGAGAAGGCGTTTCATTTGTACCGAACACCGACTTCTCTTTCTGGCCAATTTATACTTCAAGTGAATCATTTGAAAGAAAGTGAATTTGATTTCGCGAGATGTTCGATGTGAATTTCATTCGAGTTGAAATGCTTTCAGTCTTCACAAATTTGCAGCCCGAATATTCGATCCGACATCACAAAATCAAGTTCGTGTTCATTTTCACACCCTAGTATGAACTGGCTTTTAGACAGGCACAACTAGCCAAGATCTGCATTTGACTGGCCGACACGTACCGTTCTGAATTTTAAAAGTGAAGCAGGTAGACTGTTCTTCATCTTTCCACTACAATTTCAACTCGGAAGAGTAATGGACGTGGGAAGATAAAAGTTTGTCACCGACAAATATTCAATAGTAATGCAGTGATCATTCCAATGGATTTATTTTGTTTTGGGGAAAGGAAGGGGGGGTTAAATACTCTAACGGTCCAGACACCTTGAGAAATAAATGTGTCCGAGTTCATGCTCAGTTTAGGTTATTTACAAACCAACAGGTAGATCAGTTCAGATATTTTCCAAAAATGAAACACTTTACTATTTTAAATCCAACTACCTTAAACTCTCCTCTATCTGTGCTACGTATTTAGTGTACAAAATATATTTTTTGTGACCACTTGCACAAGCTGTGTTACTTGAAACCTTGCTACAAGTGCATTTCTGTGACAATTTCCTTCCAAATTTTTACCCATTTTTTCTGGATCTACATGATCATGCTCGAGTACACAAAATCAATTAGCCCCAAAAAATTGAGTATAGAGAAGTTCTCTGTGTGGCCAATTCACTCACACTGACCTTCCATGTAGGCCACTGACAAAACACAAAATATACCCTGAACTGGGTGGTTTTAGAGTTGAAAAAAGAAGGCAATTCAAAAGCACAAGTCAAAACTAATGACAATTTCTCATACACTCCATTCCATTAGTCAAACAAAAACTGCTTTTGTCTTCAGAACCAAAGTGACCCAAAATGTCACCAGTTCCATTTAATTTGGTGAAACAAAAGATTTCTTGCCTAGGAACTTTATTCTTTATCTATAAAACTGATATGATCCTTTAAATCAATTACTGAAAATCTTGCAGTTTTGTGAAGTGATGGTCAAGGGTCATTTCCTTGTTCACTATTGACTGATATGTGGGAAGTTTAATACATAAGTACTGATATGTATCACTATACATGTACAAAGCTGCAGGGTAACTTCGACCTCACTTTTCAAATAAGAGTTACTACGGACATTTCTCTCAGAACTGTTAGAGAATTACCTCCCTCAAAAACGAATGGGGGATATCTTCACATGAAAAAGTGCAGCATGTTCAGGGTCATTTGAAGATCTGTTTCATCACCTTTGACCTCTTAGATCAGGAGCATATGCCCAGGACAATCTGTTCCAAAAACTTCCCAATTTAAAAAAAAAAAACAATGCTTTAAAAGGTTTGGCAGTGGAGCTGTCTTCATGCAAGTTGTCACTTGCATGGCTATGGTTTCTAAGGTTAACAAATCCTGAAACGAAAATATACAGACTACAGTTCGTCAAATCTTTCTTGGACTTTAAGCTATAACTGGCGCAATACAGCCCCTTTATGTATTCCACTCTATGTACAAAATTTGTAATACAGTGACGCCTTGTGTTTCAGTTCAAGGCCTGCCGGGTCCGCTTCCATTGTGTGATGAACCAACACTGGGGTGGGTAGGACTCTGTCTTTGCTGGACATGGAAACATAAAGGAAAAAAAGCAGTTTTTAATCTGAACAGGTCACTAAAACAACACCTAGCAAGTGACCGAAGCATTCTTAATGACCAGCAGCCAAAGACAAGTCTTGTACAAATGAACCTGTAAACAAACGTCAAAAAAACAAAGTAGCTCTGAGCTGTCTTTAACTTGATGACTAACCACAGTGCCGATACAAGTAACTGCGCTTACTTTTTAGGTTCAAATGGAACAGACAACGATGTACATGTATAACTAACCCTGTTGGTATTGGTATCCAATTTTCTTGACAGAGAATTTCTGAAGTTTACCACAGGTGTGATTTGTGAGGAAAAAAACACAACTGAGAGATAAGCTGCACCTTTTTCTTTTTCTTCTCCTTCTTGCGTTTCTTACGCTCTCCATCTTCGTGTTTCTTTTGCTTCTTGTGTTTCTTGTCGTGGCTCCCCTCCGTCCCGGCCTCACCAACTGCAAGAATGTACAAGCCAAGAAGTGGGCAGTGAGGTAAGTAGGCCCGAATCATAAATGGAACTGCGACAGGGGGCAGTTTTCCAAGCAGTGGAGACTCCTTTGGCAGGAGCCGCACTTCGCTGGTTCACACACGACAATGAAATGCAAGCGTCATAGTTGTGTCGATACCAACAAAACAAACACTCTCAACCAACATGGCTCTTTTAAACCGACGGAGGGGGGGCTTGAAGCCCCGGGCTTCTGCTTGAGAAGGATACAGGAGAACAAGTGAACTGAAGTGAATGTGATTTACAGTGCAGAAATTCAAAAATTTTGCTCCAAATCAGATCCACCTGTCTACCTCTCCTCTGAAAGTCCTTGCTATCTGGTGAAATTACGGGCTTGTCAAGGTTTGTTTAGTGCCATAGTGGGATAAGCATACATTCCAATTGTAACAAGTAGAATCCCCAGTCAAATACAGCATTCTAGGTTTTACGATCCCCGTTGACCATTTTTCCTTGGGCGTTTTCTGGTGCTAGGGGAATAATGCGGCATTTAGTCTTAAATGCACACTGTTTCAAAATCTCTCACTGCTTCAATACCACTTTCGGGTTCTTGGCTAAAAGGCAAGTTTTGATACACACCCTGTGGTATGAACGAAGCAGAAAATTAACAGTTGATCAACAGAATGTGGCACATGGTCCAGTACGTGTTCAAGAAGAGTACATGGGGAACATTGACAAGATGTGACAGGGTTTTTTCCTCCGTTTGACAAATTCGGTGATTCTCGACATGGATAAACCTTACCTGTTGTCGTGGTTTCTGTCGGGTCGGGAGGGCGGTGCTCCTTCTTGTGCTTCTTGTGCTTGTGTTTCTTGACTGGCTGATGGTGTAACAACTTAAACTGTTCAGGAATCTGCAAAAATAAAGGGTCAAGTTTGCAAAGCATGAAGCATTTTCTTTGGATTCAAAGATCTTTACGGAGCAATATTAATCTGAGAAAAAAGATGGCTCTCTTATTATTTTGGCTGAGAGATTGCCGAGCTGTCCGTGAGTACTCAATACACTGCTGTGTTGTACAGTCTTGAGTAATGCATCAACAGGTAAGAAAGCCCATACGTTGCATCATAGCAGAGTTAGGACAGTATTGGGGTCAACCTACAAATCTGCAACAAGGAGCAAATCTGTGGTAGGTTACCAGCCAAAATACTGTGCGATTCCTACTGGTTGTGACTGGCTCCCCTTTGCTGTAGTTAAATCTACAAAGGGGCTCAGTGTAGTCGGAGGTGTGAGTGGCCACTTAAAATTAAAGCTGAAAACAGCTAGCAAGAAGCTGAAATGTAAAAAGTGCCCATACTTTTGTACAGACCAGATGTACAAAAAAGCTGAAATTCGGGGTCGACATCTAAACAAAAAAAGCTGAAATCAGCTAAAAAGCTAAATTCTCACACCCCTGTGTAGTGTCATCATCCATAAAGCATCTCCATCAAATTAGTCCCTAAAAAGTAATCACTCCTTCAACAATTGAAGGAAACAATCTCTTCAATTGTTTGTGTTCTTAAATCCAACACAATATCCTAAAAAAATGCTGTAACTTGTCACTTACAGATCCTGGGTGCAGCTTGAAGCCCGCCAAGGCTGGTCCTGAGAGGGGGATTATCTCCTTGCCTCCGATGGGTGGTTTGTCAATTAAAGCTCGCAAGCTGCTGTTGTCCTGTGCTCCAACTGTGTCAATCATCCCTGCTCGAGAAATAAAAATAAACAGAAATGGCGTGAACGCATGCACTTTGAAACCTGCACTTTCAAAACGTCAGAAAAAACATATACTCGCCATCTTTGTGTGGAGAGGGAGACCGATGTAAGTTTGTCTTATTCACAAATCTAAACAAATAGTTGGTCAAATAAACCTGCCCCTCACCGATTCCTGATTTCTATGCTTTCTAGAGCCCACCTCCTCTCTTCAAAACAATGGAAAAATATTACACAGCCAGGGTGACTAGATGATATAAACTTCACTGTCTGTTGTGATTCGGTCCTCATATCTCTGACCAACATTTGACATCACTGTTTTCTGACATGGAGTGAGTGTCCTTTGAAACTTTGAGTGCAGCAATGTGACACTCGGCTGATACTGGAGAATAAAATCATATAAATAAAATCATGTACTCATTCATTACTCAAGCACAAGTTTCAAACAATGTAAGTTCGAATGTACTGTACAATAACGACACACAACTATAATGTGGTTGAGCTAAAGGCTTGTGAAAGGTGCCTCAGGTGGCCGCCAAACAACCCACATCAAAGCGCAGCCCGAGATAGTCCGTGGAAGCAAACTGAAGACGAACCTGGAGAAAACCCTTGTGAAACAGGAGCAAACCAGCAACCAACTCTGCTCACGTATCATGGCCCAGGTTGGGAACTGAACCCGAGACCGCTGTGATAAGAGGCAAGCGCTTTATGCACCAGCTACCAGTGCCTCCCAACAAAGCTAAAGAGAGTTCCTCGTTAAAAAAAATGCCAGGGACAATGGAGACAAACTTGCATCTGCTGGCATGAATCTGTGCCACTTTTCAGAGATGACTCGGCTGTATGACAACTGCAGGTACTCACCTGGTAAGTGAGGTAGGAATGCGCTGAGTTGCTCCTTGACCTTCTTGCTGGAGAACCTCTGGTAGCTGTGCTCCAGGCCATAGTGACTTATCAGATTGGTCTCCCCAGTCACTTCGGTTGGAGCTGCAGATATCAAATTGAGGCTGCATCCGAATCTCTTGTCTAGAGCTAGGGCTAGGTCTTCGCTCCATTGGAAATGCGTGGAGACGCGCGGATAATAGACCTAGCCGTAGCTCTGGAAGCCCGATTCGGACACGGCCTAAAGATGTCATTGAAGGGGATTCTATTGGACAACTCTCAAAAGGAACATACCATAAACTAGATGGGGGTGTTCAGTAAAATGAAAGTAATGTTTTTGAAAAAAATGGTTGGAAAATTCATCATGTGTTGACTTCTCGTTCAGTATGGTGAAACTGTACCGTACTTCAAAATGAATTCTGTAATGTTTAAGCAAGGTAGGCAGAGATGATTGAAAGAGATACAAAATTGAATACGGCTTTACTCATGATGCCTGACTGTCTGACAGTCAATGAAGCAAAACGGCCAGTTTGCCACTCATTGCCAGTGCCTAGTAGTATGGTGTAAATATAAAATATCTTTGAAAGTTTAGCCTCAGACAGACTAACTGACTTTTAAGTTTGAAAATAGTGGGCGTAGGCCTATTATTGATTTAGCCTGTAGGCCTAGGCCCTAGTATTAGTAGGCCTAGTAAAACTTTGTACGTAACAATAAATGTCATGAACAAGATAATTTCCAACATGTCCAATTTCCAAAGAAAATTTGTCACACATTTTTTGTTTCTAATCTTGTGATAAACTGCTGATATGACCAATCAAATCCACACAGGCTTTCACTGTTACACTTTGTCATGATGTAGCATACTCTGACGATAGAGTGACGACTGGCTGACTGGGTAGGCCTAGGCCCTATGTACATGTAGGGGCCTAGGCCTCTGCCTACCATACTGACATACTGTCTTGACCTAGCCTACCCGAAGATTCCTTCATCAAATAGTACGATTCTGGATCGACGCTTGCTGAACTCATAAAGGACTTGGAAGCCACCGGAGATCGCTGTCTCACTAGGGTAGGCATTTTGGTGGGGATTCCGCCGTACTTGGGGGACAACTCGTGCGTTGGTCTCTTCAGAGATGTCATTGTTTCTTGGACTGATTTCTCCCGATCAGATGCATCGCCATTTTCCTTTCCTGTGTGTACATATCAACGGCTGTTGTTAATTTATGATACACGTAACATGAAAATACACGTACGTACACGTACACCCACGCAATTATCGCAATAGTATTGTTAACATAAAAGAGCCGTCGCCTTTGCAATTATTTCGGTCAAAAACAAGATGGCGACTTACATGAGAGTTCGAGGGGTGTTTCTGCGGTTTTGATTGTTTATCGCGGGCAGTGGCAGTGCATCACCTAAGGCCAATACACATCATGGGCCTGACGTACCTTCTTCTATATGGCTGTATCATTGCAGTTTTTATTCTGATTTTGTCAAAGTGAGTTACGGCATTGTCTTTTTTGGACGCTATCAATTTTCGCGGTCGGAGGTTGTTCTGTTTATATAAATGTGCACTCACGTCTGGGCAAATACTAGACTGCTAGAGGCAACCCTCCATTCACTTTGTCATTTTTGTACAGGAATTTGCATGTTTTCCTCCTTTTTTGCAGCAACTTGATAAATATATTAAAACCTACATGGTACATGGTTGGAGATATTCATAGCACATAAATTTATAGGCCTAGTGAAATTTCAGGCACATTTGTTTGATGTTAATAACGTTAAGATTTTAATAGGCCTAATTCCATGATTCTACCTCCATGCTAATTCAGATCATTTTCCCCATTGACAGCAACACCATTTTTGCCCCTTTGAGTTTTGAGTGTGAAATATGGAATAGCCACCAATTGACCAATCTAAGAGAAGAATCAAGAATCAGTGACGTCATCCTGACTGTGAGAATCGATCTGCACAGTAACGACTGATCGGGCGACATGTGCATGACCATACAGAGCAAGGAAACAGAGACATCCATCATGTCCATGTTGTGTTGCATGTCAACTGATCATTACGATCGTCAATCATGTAGGGGCCCAGGGGCTATAAGTAGAGGTGTACTAGTCGTAACCTTGGATGTTTATGTTACATCCCCTTTCAAAAAAAAAAAGAGAGCAAACTTCCGCATCAATCATTCAATGACAAAAATGTGATCAGCAGATGTTGGAAGGATCTTGCTGAAAGTATATGAAGTGGGTATGTACGGCATGTACATGTATAGCAATTGACTGATGGTATGGATCGGACTGATCGTGTCCAAAACCTTAACTTTGCTTGAATAGACCGAAATAATTTATTGACAAGCAGTCAAGGTTGAAGTGAAGTGCATTTGGTATTAGTTCCATATATGTTCAGCATCGTTTTTAACAGTAAATTGTGGACCCCTTTCAAACAGTTCAAAAAGGCAGAGGGAGAAAGCATTACCCTGTATGCTTCGGGCAGCCTCAATGGAGAGAGGATGTTGGACAACTTTACCGTTTACTAACTCAAGTCAGGACACCTCAGCTGTTAAGACACTGACCATGCAAGGCATGAACATGACAGAGTGCATGGCAGTTAACAGATTGCAGATCAATGTCTTTGGGTAGATTTGGGTGTGTTGCATTACATTGCGACTTGACTTGCCAGGCATGATGAGCACATTGACCCAGTGGCGTAGCATGCACAGGACCAATGGGCGATCAGCTGGTGGTGCATCGGCCGCCCCAACCAGCGCGGTGTTAGGCCACGAAGGTGATGCCGCATGCACAGTGGCGCGACCCACCATCCGTAGTACACAGGTGCTAAATTGGTAAATCTGTCCCCAAGTTAGAGAGATGTTTCTTTTTTCTTCCTTTCTCAATTTTAATTGGGAGAAAAGGTGCAAACAAGTGACTGTAAAGCTCACGCGCCCTCATTACGAGCCAACTTCTCTTAACGACTTGTTCCAGTGGTCGAGTTGTCTGTCACTTTGAGGCGCAGATTGTTGAGTTGTCCTTCTGGTCGAGTATCCTCAATGGTCAAGTTGTCACGAGTTGAGTTTGCAAGTGGTTGTATTGTCTGAGCCCCTGAAGAGAAACCATTTTAGCTGCAGTATCACATTTTGTACGTGTTCTACGAGAGAGTTTTGATAGCAGCCAGAATCTTTATACATTTAGCTATGGTTCAGTATTAGGAGTTAATTTCTACTTGATTGCACACACGTAAATGTACATTTAGCTTGTCGTTAATTTTTGATGGCTTGGGTTCCTTTTCTTCTTTGAAAACAGAATCTGCGCTGGTATTCTGTCCAAAGTTCTAAGCCAGATCTTAAAGAAGGAGGTTAGCATTGACTATATTGGCTTCTTCTCTCTCAAGAATGTCTCCATCCAGCTGCACAAGAGCAGTGTGGTAAGTTCATCTGCCACCCTGGGTAAAAATGGCATAAATATCCACACTTTTTTCAAGATGTATTTTTTTTTTTGGTTGCGTTGGGGAGATGTTAATTTATGTGACGGTTTTGCCTTTACCCAACGTATATATTAATAAACACTGTATGCTCAGTGCTTGTCCGAGAGCTTGCGAAAAAAGTCACAAGCAGGAGGTCGTGGGTTCGAGTCCCCCCGAGTAAGCTTGTGACTTTTTTCGCCCATGTGAGTTTGTCATTGTTTTCCCAAAGTATCAGACATTAATCTTTCAAGGCTCCTGGGGAATTTACCAGGTTGAAGGGGATGGTGCAGTACACGACCCAACTTAACAAAATGTTCATCAGGGCAACTTTTGAGTAAAAACTTCTAAAAGAATCTTGCTCAATGTAAATCGGTAAGAATCCTCTGCCTTTCTGGTCCATAGGATCTTCATTCTCATTAGGATGCCAAAATTGAGCATCACATCAAAACAAGCAGCTCTATATGTACTCTCAAATGTAAACAAAAACAAAATGACTGAATAGATGACCTTAGGACTCATTTTATTGGGATATAGTCTCATTAAATTTTACACAACAAAATCCAACAAAAAATCTGGCAAGGGTTTGCAGTTTTGTTTGTTTCATGACTTTGCATACATACATACATGTACATGTATGGTTACTTTGTATCTTAGAGCAAGTTTTCTGAAGAATTGCTTAAATGCAATGCAGCTTATATGGCTAATGAGGTCGGATGGCACTGGTGGGTAAAGCCTGGTATTTTCCTAAGTTAGAAAGAGCAGTCAAGGAAGAAAATTTTTTTTTCATAATTTTGGAAACTTTTATCACAGGTTCTCGATGACATTTGGATATCATGGCGTCTTTTTAACCCCAGCCAAAAGTAAGTTGGTAACCCAGTTGTCTATACCAGCGCATATGATATGTTGTAACAATGGATTACAATAACAAAAATGAACATTTCATTATCGAAGATGCACGCAGTAGTTTAAGACCGCGTAAATTTAATGAGTGTGTTTCCTTGAAGCTACCGGATGGCGTTGCACCTCGGTGACGTGAGAGTGCGCGCTGAGATGCAGAATGATTCCCAAGGAACTGCACGGCATGAGAGGGGCGAAGAAGCTGCCAAGCCAGGTAGAAAAGGTTTGTTTTGATAACTATCCCCTTGAAAAGCGCAATTTAGCATTAGGTGGTCCCTCAAGACTGTTTTGCATGTTTAGATTAAGAATTTGGTGCAGGGCAAATGTGCACATAAATGGTTTGCTGCATAGTAGATGAATATTTGGTTTACAAAGTTTTGTAGCAGAATTGTTTAAAGTCAATGAAAAATTGTCATATTTTAAAACTTATTTGGGGTTAATCAGAATGCTTTTGTGAGCCATATGCCTGTTATCCCAAAACATAAAAACAGACAATGACTTTTTCTTCATAATTTAACTGTTTTCACTTAGTTGCAATTATGATCAAATCATGTTCTAATGTGGCCCACCAAGAAATTGTTTCAGCTTTGTAAACTGAGTTGGCCAAATGCTTGAATATTTGCCAATTGTAATCTTTTGGAGAGCAGACCTTTTACTTGTAATCTTGGAGAAAAGATGGAATTAATTTACAGACCCTTATTGAGATATCAGTCAACAAACATCCATTTTACCCAGTTTGACTTGTTCAACAATAGGGCATAAGAGGCAGTCTTGAGTCACTTCCAAACAGTAATGGGATAGACTAAGGCTTTTTTGTTGTTGTTTTAAAAAATGATGGGTTGCATTCCAAATACAGTGTTGTTTCTTCAAAGCCAGGCTTCTGCTTCATCTGTTCACAGGATCATCACTTCTTGATTCCAGCTATTTCACATCAGCAGTTAGGTTCATTACAAAGGTAAAAATATCTTGAGAACCTTGGAGTGGGGTATCAAAGCTATTCTAGGTTTGAAATGGCATTGCATTGTGCTACATTATTTGTAGCTTAAGAATAACAGTGGTATGTGGGTCACTCCATGAGGTTGGGGCACAATTTGTGACGGTGCCCTTGTTACATGGGTAACTTTAACCACCTGTCATGACCTGTAGAGTAGGTCATTTACTCTGTAAAAATAACACACACCTCAGTTTTCAGCCCTGCAAGATGTATAACAATGTCAATTTGGAATCCACATGCAGGGAAATAGCTGTTCATTTTTACAGAACCCATGTAACAGTTGACACCGTCACAAATTGTGCCCCAACCCCATGGAATGACCAACATATTTAAAGGGGAGGGTCCAATTTTATCACGCAGTGTCTTGACCATGGATACATACAGGGTCATTCACACGTTAGACAGCAAAATCCTTTGCACTCGTCTTTGGAGATTATGATTATTGTTTGTGTAAGAGATGAATAAAAACCAAGGACCAGTTTTTAACAGTGAGCATGTCTCAAGAAAGGGGGCATTGTGGTTTTCTATAGTGACACAGTATCCATCAGTTGACTCCATCTACATGTTTGAATTGAAAGATGGCATTGTTATTTCCTTTCGTGTAGACGATGTGCCTAAATGTGGAAGCGCTCAACATCATGTTACTGAATGCCATGGGAACAGACTCGTTGCTTCACGTCACCATCAAGAACATTTCCCTGGCTGGTGCTCCACTTACAGAGCAGTAAGAACATTTGAGTATAGGATTGTCAAAAGAGGGCTCCAAACCGAACCCTTATGTGCTCAGATTAGGAGCATGCTATACCAGCAAGAAAATACGGGCTGGTGAGAAAAATTTCAACTTGGTTCATGGCACACATGCAGAGACTGTACATTTCATTAGTTATTGGTTACACTTGGTTGGCACATCCAATGCTGAATATGCATGAACTTGGTGTTTGCCGCCTTAAATGGACATTGTTCCTAAGTCAAAGCATCTCTTGTTCCCACACGGATCAAATATGGTAGATTATATACAAACAGCAAGTGAGACCCAGTACCGGGTGTAATTGGTGGGCGCGATCAGTCGATCAGCGCAATCGAGCAATCCTGTGTGAAATCTCCAACTTTACTTCCTTTTTGTAAACAATCTTCCAAAAGCTACAAAGACAATGCGATCTGAAGGTGAAATTATCAATAGACCGTAGAGCAAGATTGAGTGGTTGCATCCAACTCAAATCATTGCATGTTTTGTTTTGAAAATAATCCATTTAATTTTGTTTGTATTATGTAGAATCATCTCCACTGATCTGGAAGTGCAGGAGATATCACTTAGAATGCTTCGCAGTGCTAACTCTGTAAGTAGGACAAGAGACATAACCTGAAGTGTGACTAATGTTTAATAATTCAACTTCATCGAAGAATACATCTGTAAAAACATAGATTCTTGTGACCATTGGCTGATTTACCAGGGAGGATTGATAGGTTTCATTTGTTCAGTTGATCATTTCTCATTTGCTTGACCTGTTACTGCTAGGCCATTTTTAAATTAAATATGACCGGTGTCTAGAATCATAGTTTTGTATTGCACTTCTGCATTTAGATGTGACCTTTTTTAAGTTCAATATATGATTCTGAGCTAACCTCACACCAACATCCTCTAGGTCTCAATATTTTCAACAGTTGTTGATCAGTAAGTTATCTTTTTAGTGCTTGGTGTCTTTTGCACAAGTTTATGAGGGTAGGCATTCACCGCGCTAAGGGGACAAGTTCTTTTGTTAGGGAAATTTGAACCGAGTTGTGGGGACATTTCTGAGTCCCCACAACATTTTCGGTCCCCACAAAATAGGTGAAATGTCGAGTGTATGTCCCCTCAACTACGGTGCGGGAGAATGTGAGTTTTTTCTCCAAATTGTGCAATATTGCAGTGGTGTTTGTCATCTGAGGAATTAAAATTTCAAATAACTTTGAGCAGGTCAGTATAGGAAATGTAATTTAATTTTAATCAGCACTCGCAGTTGATTTTTTCATTGCGAAAAATTACCTTGTCACGTACAGGATGCAGGGGAGCAATCACACATGGCGCATGCCTCAACGAGCCTGAAGGTATCTGCGCAGCTGGACTTTATCATGAAGAAAATCCTGGTGAGTCACCCCTAGAGAAAAATTGTATTTTGGACAGAAAGAAATAAGTGAGTGTTTTAATGTGAAAAACTTCGACTGTGGAAGTTTTGAACATGAATTGCTTTAAGTTTAAATTGATAAAAACTTGAAGTTTGAATTGTAAAGTGTTGACACACTGTAATCTCAGAACCAGCTTCTGACCACTCAAATTGCATGTCTTCCTTAGTTAACTTCACAAGTTATGGATCATAAAGAAATTATGGCATTGCCAGCCACCAACAGACTTTTCTGTTACGTACCAAACATTACCACTTCAGATGATGTGTTGTTCTTTGAAACCATAGTACTATTTTTGTCAAAGATATTGCTGATGAATTATACTGATGCACTCAGTAATGATGGGAGGTATTACAAAGTAATTTAACTTTGAACCACTTGCTATGTAGTACAGCATCTCTCCAGTGCCTAGGTATTTGCCGACAAAGTCTGGTGTTGCTGCAAGACTTTTAGAATTCCAAGCAACACCAGTGTCTGTAAGCAACACATGAACATTCGTGACTGATTATTGTAATGGATATTTTGTTACCCACAGGGAATTTCTGTCAATGTTGGAACCCCACGAGTCTCATTACAAGATGGTGAGTTATTGACAGACATCACAGAAATTTTACCGATTATTTTCTTTATTAATTTGGGTCTTGCCACTTGAGGTTTTAGTGACAAGGTTGACTCTTGTGTCACATACTGTGATTTGTTTCCCCAGAAATCCTGATTTTGGTGAAATCTCACATACCTAAAATCATTCAACACTATAATCTGTTTTTCTTCAGTACAGTGCTTATATCACCATTATACTTGATCCATTTTTGAACTCCATAGCTGTATAACATTAGATGATTTAACGACACAAATAAATGATGAATTCAATGACTGTATTTAACAATCTGCAGTTAACAAACAGATTTGCATAATCTTTGATATTAGTCGTTGGCCCAGTAATCAGGAACTTCAGTAAATCTGCCCCAACTCAACATTGTGCTTGTTGTTTGTACTTGTCGACAAAAATGAGGGCATCAAGTCACATGCCAAATTATTATTGTTATTCATGTGCAGGTTTTATGACGCAGATTCTCCAGACATTTCCCAAGACAGCAATAGGCAGTGGTGAGTTTGACAGTCCTCGAAAAGCATTGGACTTATTTGTGACGGTCATATTATCATGTGCAGTTGAACTAACCAAAGGTGACCAAAATCATACGTTTTGCACTGTCAAGAAGCACTTGTTTAAGGAGCTGCGATATTCTCATCAACAGACTCAGGAGTTGTTAATTCATGGTATTTACTCTAACTCCCAATGTCCCAAACCCTTCAAAAATTGCCTCTCTGTTTAAAGCAAGTGGTGCAATGTATGTATAAATGTATATTTACCTTCAAGTGGCATCACACACCATGTATAAAGGCAGAACCATGCGCTCTGACTTCATCTATTCTGCAAAATCTCAGAAAATCTCTTGTACCTTTTAAGGATCTAAGAAGGTTTGGGTTAAGGATTTTCAAGTATGCACGGTGGTGTAAGACAAAATCATGAGCAGAGGTCATTATTTACGAAACTGCTCAGAACTCAATAGGTATGTGCAGTGCTCTCAAACTCAGTGAATTTCCAATGGAACAGCAGTGCATCCAGTTTTGAGATAGCATTTCAGTTAGTTTTGTGGTAAAACCTCCAACTGAAAAATGATGCACATTTGCTAGATGCACTAGAACCACAACGGATCCAGCAGCCAAAGCCTGTTGAGGAGAGGATTAGAGCAATCATGCTGAGATTACCCAGGGTGAGTTTTCCACAGTCATGTTTGTGACCCAATCAAACAAAATGAGTCAACAAGTCACTAGTACAGAGCCACTTTTTGAGTTAAAAGATTGTTAACAGAATCTTGCTTTGTACCGATCACTAAATGACATTATTTTTTTATTGCGTGAATTGAAAACACTCATTACTTTTCTTGTACAGAACCTGAATAAATTCCGGCCTGAGTGGAGGGTTGGATCCCCAACAAGTTCAGAAATTTTGTTTAAATTTGTTGAATCAGAAGTTTCTGTTTCTTGCTGCACATTCCATTTTTAAGAACAGTCCATTTTGAAGTGTGGCCACACACTCGTTTGTTGTGACAAATAATTCAGTGACAAGTGATCAGACATCTACCAATCCAATGACAGGGATTTATAGGCACCCACATAAATTAGTCTGCACTTGCAAAATGCCTTTCACTAACTGTCATAATTTAGGTTAAAATGTACATTGCTGTCAAGTGCATTTTCACAGATTTCCTTTGATGCAGTGGAGGTTCAGCTAACTATCCCAATTTTTGTTATTTTATGTCACAGGATGCCAAGTTACAGATTGACGATATCGACTGCCAAGTTGTGATCCAGAGTGAACAAAGGTTTGCACCAAGATTGATTCATTTTTCTTTGGTCGTTTTCAGCGTCTGAAGCTCATAAGAATTCACTTTCAGACCTCCAGCAACCTATCAAATGTCTTGTTGGGAGAAGGCATTTATCTAATCTCAAAACAAACACTTTTCATGTTTACTTTCCAATTTCAGGTATGATATCTCAAAATATTACTTAAACAGATTTTTGTTTCATTTTTTTGGTGAAAAACTGAAAAAAAAATCTCTCTAGGCGCCTGACCTTAACAACAAAGCAGCTCTTAGTGACTGCTGATGTTAATGTCGACAAGCTGATAGAATGCACCAAGACAAAAGGTCTCCTGCTGCCAGGAATATCCTGCTTGTTCAAACTCACAGGTAATTCGGAAAAACCTTTTTGTTTACTGCTTTCCCTGATACCACTTTTCCTCATTCGTGCGGAAACCTCATGACAAAAAAAATCAGAAAGTGCATATTGACAACAGTTCAGATGTGAATGGCACCAGCAGAAATTGATTGAATTGGAAAGTGTGTATAAAAGGATTTGCGGTACAGTAAAAAAAAACCAAGACAGTCAACTTTCTCCTGGTTCCAGTTATACTTTTTACACTTGGTGGGATTAAACATGATGATGAAAATCTTGCAAGGCACTTATGATAGAAGGAATCTGATAAAGAAAACCCTTAACGCTGCTTGTCCACTGAAAGGTCGTCAAGTGTGAGGTCCAAAGTTTATCAGTACAAAAATCACCATTTTGTGTGTGCATGAAAGAGGTAGTTTTGTATGTTTCAATACCCCTGCCCATGATGCTTCTCTTCACAGATGTGCAGATGACCAATATGCAGTCATTGAAGTTACTTTCCATCAGCGACACGTCAGTGTCACTCCAGGTAAGATAGCATCTAGAAAATTCAAACACTCTTATTCTGTAGAGGGTGCCCCTTTTGAAATATGGCACATTGTTGATAGGAACCGAGGTTTTTTCCGACGAGAAACGCTTGAATGGACTGTTTGTTATTTAGTCTGCACATGAAAATTGGCAGTTGTTCCAAGATAGTAAAACAAAAGGTTATCAATGTTTTTCTAGTCTTGTAAAGTCCATCACAAGCCAGATCACTAGGTAACTAGGGAATGAACAATAACAGCCAAAGGACTTGGTCACTGTTCAATCCCAATAACTTTGATGACTTGTGATTGGCTTGTGAGGACTTGATCACAGGCCAATTACAAGTCATCCAGCAATCCATAATATGACAGTCTTTCAGCAGCCACTTGAGGTACCATTCAAACCCCTGCTTCTTCCATCTTCTTTATCTTGCTTCATTATTTGCCTCGAAATAAGCATCGTGGATGGAATTTTTAAATTATAATCAGTGCTACTATAAGTTTATTTTTGTTGTCTTACTGGTAGCTACGAGAGACAGGTGTGTATTCAGACCTGGTCCTAAGACATTGTCATGTCCACTACCTTGATGATGAGATGACTTTCTGGCTGGCGACCATTCAGGAGCAAATAAAACTACAAAAGGCAAAACAGAACACACTTTTCCCCACAAGAACTCCAGCCAACGTCCAGTCGAAGCCCTCAAAGCAAACGTGAGCAATAATGCCTTTCTGAATTTCTTCAAAGCCAAGAAAACGTAAGAGGCCTTTTAATCATCGTTTTTTGAGGGCAGTGGTTTGTCCAAACAAATTTTTATAGACAAACAATATAATGTAGAAGCACATTTTGAATTGGCCAGGGTCAACATGATGCTGAGGTCACTCTGAAATTAAACAAAGTCACAGTTACATTGCAGTAAGCTTTGGACCTAGCGTGAATGTTTTTAACCCAGCTTGGGCTATGTGATTAGTTTAGAGCTTTCTGACTCAAATTGAAGCCCTTGATCCAGATTGATTATACGAAGCAAATTTGAGCATTTTGAATCAGCTTGAGGTGTTTGACCCACTATGAGGTGTTTGACCCTGCTGTAGCTTAGCAGAACCGATTCATATTGTACGCCAGGGATTGCCTTCAACTTGGATCAAGATGATGCAACGTTCTCACTTTGCACTTTAAATGCAATTTTAAGACATACATTCAATCGTGCTGTCAAAAATCTCAATGTTCAATAATAGGTGGTATGAAAAGCCTTAAGAAATCAGCGTAATTGCCAATCTAAGAAGTCTTTATTCATTGCCTGGAAAGGAAATTTAAGATAAAGTGGTCAGTTTATTAATCGCACTTTATCTTACATGTACACAGTAGCATACTTCTTGAAATTTTCACTTTTTTAATGATTATTTCTTGTTTCAGAGTCACCTCCAGTCTCTTCCAAGAGCTCATTTTGCCCTTTGACCTGACCCTTGACCTGAGTGACATGTCAACTCACATGACATGGCCAAATGTTCCTGACTGTGCTGTTTCCATTGTAACATTGAAGACTGGCACCAGAATCACAACAGACGCAGGTATAGAAACCAAACTGACTCTGGCAAATGGCCACATTTTGAGAATTATACTCAATTTTATTCAAATGGCCATCTTACAGAAATTATACCTGAGTTGTATTTTAGAGGAAATGCATACTTTCTTGAGTGTGTGTGAGTCTTCTGTTTGGCAGTACAAGTTTCAGCCACATGTAACCTTTTGAGAAATTTTACTCATATTAGTTGATATCAATAGCAGAAGAAAATTTATATCAAGGTGTCTGTTTGTTTCTCAGGCTCAACTCCAAAGAAACCGCTTAGGTATATCAGGTAAGTGAGCTTTCTTGGAGTGTTAAACAAAACATTAACCCTGTTTAATGAATGCTGAAACCACATGCACCAATGATCAACCAGAGTGTTTCCCTATCCTGCTAGATACTCCATATTTTGTTTCCATTCTTAAGACAAAAAGAGGAGAGATGCCGCAATTGTTGCTGTCTTTGCTGGTCTTTTGTGCACTGCAAGATACTTGAAAAAATCCGACTTAACCTTTCCTTGTTTTTCAAAACCTGATCTATTACCTGGAGCCATTTTTTTTCTAATCGCAAAAGTAATTAAACTTGTCATGTAATCCTCAGGTATTTTAATAAGGTCATCCATAGCTAATTCTGTGGTTCTCATTTTTTTGCCTTTGGGGCAGTCAGTTGGTTACAGGAAAAGCGGGGTAAAAATTACTTGTCTGTCCCCAGAAATTCTTAAAATTATTGTTGCTTTCCTTAGCTTCTCCAGAAATTCCATATATATTGTTTAGTGGCATTAAAAAAGTTTTTTTTCTTGGTCAGAACCAAAAATAAGGGTCAGTCGGAAATGAGAACCATAGAATTAACTATGGATGTCCTAATCTTGTGTTCAATGTGATTTGCAGCATAAAAACCAGAGGGGGTGAAAGTTTTATTGGCAATGATTTTCTTGCTACTTGCAGGGCCAATATGCAAGGAGATCATATCATCTGCCAGGTCGGTGACACCGTCCGTACTCCAAACGGAGTCACGTCACCTTCGAGACATATATGGGGCACACCCCTGGCTGTCAACATCATCAAATTGAAGGTACAGCAAAAATAAATTGGGGTAAAATTGCTCCTCCAAAAATCCTGAGATATTTACTCTAAATCACAATTTGAAATCTTCCTTCAAGTAACAAGATTAATCTGCACTGCTGGAACAACTTGGTAGTTTCACTTGAACTGAGCATTCTGATAACCCCCAAATGATTATGAATCAAATCAATTAGGCACGCATTGCAGATCTTGACATCAAGGTCCACATGTAGCGATCTTGTATGGTCAGAACAGTCTTGGAGCGAAATACCATGATATACACGTAAGGTGGTACATTTTGAGAAATTTTAATTTAACCTCAGGTTAATTTCACGCCCTACTCCATTGAAGTCGAGGGGTCAGTGAACTCCCTCCAGGTTGAGTCGTGTCTGGAGCTGCACTCTGTCGTCGAGCACGTCCTGAAAGTGACCCTGGGATGGAAGGCCAAAGGTCAGGACATGGAGAGGCAGAAGGTCACCGTGGAGGCCGGGCTTGGTCCCAAGCAGCAGACGCACAGAGTCAACGTCAGACTGACCGACTTCAATGCTTTTCTGTGCAGCGATGTGAAAGGTATTTATTTCACAAAGTACAGTGTGACGTAAAAATTTGGACCACATAAAGGACAAACCCTGACCGTAACTTGCATGATTTTAATGATATTTGATTGTAAGAGTCAGTCATGCTAAAAAGAGTTCATATTTCATGGAAATCCACTTTTCTTGAGACACTAGACCTAATTGTATACTTTTGCTTACTAAGTAAAAATCCTCACCGACTGTAGCAGAAAATAATTGTGTGCCAACAATCAGCATATTTCAAAGCGTAGCAGTTTTGGCCTATGAACATGCACTCAAATCACACATTATGAAGGTTCTTTGCTTAAAAGGTTCATGTAGAATATCTGTACAGGTGCTGCTCACTGATTGGTGGTCATAAGCACAGAATAGAACTGTGGTTAGCAGAATCATAACATTTGACCCCAGTAGCATCTATTCCAGCAGCCAGAGACAGTCAATGAATTGTAGTTTCATAGACTGCAATTTCAACTCATCTGCTGTGCAGTTTTTCAGAGTCATTTAAATTTCACAATTTTAATGCCAATATTTTAACCAAATGTACATGTATTGTCAGGTGTTCAGCCATCAAATCAACGAGGGATTTGTTTTTTCTTCTTTCACAGAGTTCATCATGCTGAGAGTTGACGATGTGGACGTTGACTCAGAATCTGATGGGGACTCGACCGTGGTCGTCATGGGAACCAAATTACTAGGAGTAACAAAAGATAGCAAGGTGGAGAACAAATCTTCTCTAGATACCAGCATTGATGTGGCACTTTGTTCATTCACACCCATTTATAAACTTCCGCTGCATGCAAATTTTGGCAAATTATAAGCATGTCGTCTTCAGTTGTGGTCGGCGGGTTAGACTATGAATATTATCGAAAACTTGTCAGATGTAATGAAGTCAAAACAATTTCTGATAATATTCCATTGTACTTGGCAGGTCATTGACTGTGTTGAGTACAAGTCACTCCCCGAAGCAATACTTGATGTGACGCTGATCAACCTGAAATACACCTCAGCATCTAAGGTAACCTTTCATTTGTAGCATCATAAGTGCAGTTGGTTGGCAAAACTCTGGCAGGCTGTGATTTCAAAACCTAAAGCGTAATTCACAAAGTGTTCAAAATAGTGTCAACTGAAAGTATCTTCCATTTGTAACACTGATGCGGGAGCATTTTGAGGCAAAGTTTGCTGCCAACCAGGGTAAACTTTTTGCATACTTTAGCCATCCAAGTGGCAGTCAGTGTTTGAAAACAAAAGAAAGTTGTGCTTGTATCTGTCTGACATTATGCATCATAAACTTGTTTGATACTGAAACAAATGCCTGATCAGAAACAGTTTACCAGCCAAAATGCAGTGATACATGTTGCGTGGGACTGGTTCCCATGTATTTTTTGATAGTTGTTCAATTTGTTCCAAATTCGATTGGCTGTAATTTTGCTTAGCAGTACTGTGAAATTTAGCCTTGATCTTGCCGTCAATTTCAGTGATTTATCATAATGCCTATGATATTAGATTTGTGAATGTTGCACAGATGACTTTTTTTTAAGTTAACATTGTCAGATGTTTTCCATCTTGTGCCAGGTGGCAAAAACTAAGCAGATTTCTTGTTTTATGGCAGAAAAGCAATGTTTTGAAGCTGAGTATATATTTCTGTGAACATCAAGATGTTTCATCAAGGGTAGAGCTTTAAAATTTATTTGTGTATCTGTGTGTCGTATATTTCACGTAATCTTTGGATGGACAATCAAGGTAGGATGTTGTAAAGCTCCACTGAATAGTCATTTTAGCGGAATCCCAGATCTTTTGTTTTTAATGGCAGACATTGAATGCTGTGATTGAAGAGACGTGCTGTGCTCACTGGAACACTACAAGTCACATGACCATGTACCATCATGTCAAAGAGGTTGTCTTGTTTGGCTTGAAGGTCAAAGGTGAGTATTTCTTCCTGGTTTGACTCATATTTCATACTTCTGATATAAAGACTTGAGCAATTCATCTCTTAATTTGGTCCATCTTTCATGACTTACCATTACTGTAGGTTTTTTACCTAAGAAGCAGGGTCATCTTGAGCTGATTGCTAGTGGTTATTGTTCTTAGAGTCAGTGTTGTATTTGACGCCATCACAAGTCCCTCTAAGTCCATCAGAAGTCCATTACAAGTCATTCTGTCTTAAGCCAATTCACAAGCTATTGAAATAAACTGTGACAAAAGCATTCCCTCGTCATTGCTCACCCTATTACTTATGACTGGCCTTGTGAAGGGACTTGTGACTGGACTTGTCATGGACTCGACTCCAACACTGCTCAGAGTCTCTCTTTGAAACAGTCCAGCCAAAATCTTCCACCTTTCAGAGGTTAAGCATCAGGGTTTGTAGAGGTCATTAAATTCCTTAAACATTTTTAAATTTTATTGTGGTCATGAAATTCCTGGAAAAGTCATTTTATGTTTGTAGAAAGGCGAATAAAATCATTAAAAGTGACTGAATTTTCATCTTTTACATCTTGTATTTTATAATTGTGTTGCGTTTTTCAAGACATGTTAATCACAATTGATCATCTTGCCAGCATAGTAGAATTGCACATAATCAATTATGGAAGTCATTAAAAGTCTTTGAATTTTTGGGATCTTGACACTATGAACCCATAGCATGCATCTTACTGTGCTTTTTTATCCAAACAACGTAGGATTGCTTCCAAAGAGAGAGAGGGTCATCTTAAGTCCAGAAGCTCAGAAGATGAGGGCAGCAGCAGGCACTTCCAAAGACCTGTGTATCTGCCTCAACGTCAAATTGGTGGAATTCTTCTATCACGTCAGTCCATCAAAGCTGTAAGTTCTATCCCACCGACCCAGTTCATCAGTGCATCTGTTCCTAAACCCTCCTTTTCCATTCCTTCCAAATTTCTTCCACCAAAAGAGTTCAAGACTGCCACTACTTTGCCTTTGTTTGTCCTATATTTTCTTATCACATCGCCCAAATGGCCTGATAAAATTGTGAATTAGTCTCTTCTGATTTCAAAAGTTGTACAAAATCACATCTTTAAAGGCAAAAGCCTTCAATCTCCTACTGTTTTTGAGTTTTGCACAGAGCCCAAAAAGTAGCCCCTAAAGTACGCAAGGTCTTTCTTAAAAATACCATAGAGGTCTTGGGTTTATTCCAAGATGTTGCATTACTCCCAGCAACATGTGCTTGAAATGAACGGTACATTTTCCTCACATACAGAAATGTCATATCAGTGAAGGAGTTCTATGCTACCAAGCAGGGCTCTTCACTCCTCAAGGCAACCTCCCCAGAGTGCATCATTGGGTTCGAGGGTCATCCGGTATTTGTCATTAAGGTAAGATGTAGTGCTTTATGCTTTCACACTTTGCTCTGCTATGTGTTAGTAACTAAGCCCTTCAAATTCACTTACAGGACAGGTAACGACCTTACAGATTCTGTGATATCAGTGGTTATTTAACATGCCAAATGTTTGCAAATTTCATGTTAAAGTTGATAGTTGAACCTTGGTCATATCCGACTCCATTTCATAGATGCATTGGTAACTTTCTAAGGCTATGCCCATGTCTTTTGTTATGTATAATTCTGGTGTCCATCTTCTGTAGTCCGCATGTATTGAGAAACTAGTGAACAGCCAGCAATTACTGGAGGATAGAAAAAGCTTTGATTCACTGACAACACCAACAAACAGAGCATGGTAAGTTTGTATGCTTTCCTCATTTGAAAACATTGTTCCATTGGTCTTTTGATTAAGTGTGAAATTTTTGACATTTGACAATTGAAAGGTTGACTGGAAATTATTTTGCAGTATATGTATTTCGTTGTGATTTTCTGTCCTTACTAGGGGTGTCTATGGCAAATCAGTTAATATGGAGTTTCCCTACAGTTATGACTTTGCTTCCAATTATGATGAGGTAAGATTGAAAACTGGGCTTTTATTAAAATTATGACTGTCAGAAGGTGAAACATTTAACCCTTAAAGCTTCAAATTCCCCAGCAACCGGCACCTAGTCTCGTTTCAAGTCTTTCTTGTGTATTTATTTCATTTCAACTGAAGATTTAACCAGGAAGTTTGATTTTTTTTTAAATAAAAGTTGCAATATAATATACATGTATCTTTTTGCTGTATGAATAAGAGTTGTCGGCGATGCCTGAAATTTTTTCAAGGTTTTAATAATGAAGATCATTAATTCATTAAAACTTGTTTCATACTTCTATAAACCTCCAAATCCAGAAATAGATTAATCGGTGAATGAGCTGTTGTAGTTCATTGGAAGATGAATTTTTAGTGTTATATTTCACGTTACTGTTGATGGTTGTTACTTTTGTAAGCCTGAGCTTTACCACTGATCTTAAACTTTATCCACAGATCATTAACCTGATCAAGTGGCTAAAGAGCTTGCATATGCACAAGAAAGACCGTTCCATTGAAGAACCTCTGTATGCTGACGTCCTTGTCAGGGTCCAGGTAGGTTTTTCTCATTGACAGGTTCCACACTGGCCCCTGTTGCAGACACTGTCATTGACACTTTAGTTTTGTCGTGGTCATTATAACTGTCATTGCCACCAACATTATCAACACACCATAGTTCGTTTCATCTCTACTGTCATCATTATTTTTGTTTTGTATCTGTCTCTATCGCGTTCACTTTATAATTATTGTCACTATTATTGCTACTTTTACTGATAATATTGTCTACTTTTTGTCATTGCTGTTGCAGTTGTCATATTCTTTGACATCACCGTCATTGTCATCGTAATCAGTGTAACTGTATTATTGTCTTGAATTACAGTCATCAACATCACTGTCATGATCATCACCAATTAGGATTTTGTTAATGTTGCAAACAGTGTTGTAGCAGAGTCCATCATAAGTCCCTTCAAGTCCATCATAATCCAAATCTGAAGCCAATCAAAATGAGATTTGTCATTATCTGCCAATGCTAATTGTTTTGCATTTTCCTCTTCGCCTTTTCTCTAAATGCCGTATTTTTCTTTATTTCTGTTTTGTCTGACAGACATTCGTGCTCAAGCTGCACGATGATCCATTTGAAGTCAAGCTGGGAGACAACTATCAGGTCTTAATTATTCCTACAATCTGTTCTTTTGAATTCAGGTTGCTCCTAACGCAACTCAAGACCTTTCTTCTGACATGGGCCTTATCATTCAGTACTCAGTATTTGCAATCCCTTTGTCCAGGTTCAGTTTTGTATGTAGGATTTTAGTACGTACTATCAAAAATGTCATTGAATTATTGCTCAGTCAGGGCTCTTTTGAGCAATGCATGTTTGGACAATAAACCCTTTTGACATTCTCATTGCATCATGGGATTGGATGATCACGAAGCCAGGGATTGTGCATTTTAACCTATGGGCCTGTTTGTTTCACATGGATCTAGATCCTATCGTTGGTTTGCACCCTCCACTATGCAGGTTTTGGTGTCCGTAAACCAACGACGGAACGCTGATCATGATCCAAATCCTTGTTTAGGACACGGCTTATGAGGATGCAATCCGGTCTAACTTTTTTTTTTCTTCAGAATTTCTAAAGTACCTACTCGTCAAGCCATAGATGGATGCATATCTAACAAAAATATTTTTTAAGTTAAAAACAATTTCTTTTAAATATCAGAACAAAAAAAATCAATTGTCTTGTTAAAAGGGAACCACTCACCAGGACGAAAATTTAACGTGATTTGGCAGTGCAGAGCGAATGAGCTTTAAATCTTGATTCTGAATGGCCAATACTAGCCCACTGACATTTATGATCATAGTCTAAGACTGGAATTTTCCTCCAAATCTCCAGTGCAACACTCTGTGAAAAGAAGATGACTTGATCTCAAGCGTCAAATCACCTGGTTTAGTAGAAGTTGCCGATTAATATTTTACTAATGCACGTCAAGTGTCAACCAATTTCATGATATACTGCAAATGTTGCAAGTGGTTTTGTTTTGACGTGTTGGAATGACCACTTTTTTGCATTTTTGAAAAATCCGTCTCTGTAGCTGATGAAAGACGAGCGCTTGGAGAGTGAGCGGCGACGGGAGTTGATGGACAACAAGGTAGCAGAGCTACGCCAGACCCATGGAGAACTTCTGTCAGGTAGAAAAAGTGTGTGTTGGCATGGTGATGGGCACTGTGATTTTCAGTTTAGCGCATTTATTCATTCATTTAACAGAATTTCATTACCTTGAATATAACTGCATATACCTGCACTGTCGAGTCTTAATTTTCTTGTGTGCACTGTGTGATGTTTAATAGTCGTTTGGTCGGTAGTTTATTGGAGGGGTGTCATTTCTCCTTGCTGTATTGGGTTTGCAGTCAGGGCCAAACAACGTCAGATATTCCCGTGTGCCGGCCTTTTTTTGAATAATGCAAATCACATTTTGCATTTCAGCTTGTAAAGTGCATTTGTACGTACACAGCACTTGGTTGGTTGTAGTGTATCTTAACATGATAATAACAATGTTGGTGGCATCCCCGTTTTTGCTTCGATGTTTTGATGTGAATTTTTCTGTGCCATGTATGTGCTCATCAAAAATACAAGATGTCTGAAAGGCCCATGTTAACCGTGAAGACTAACCTTGGAAATCTCGAAATTTAATAAAGACTGTTAAAGGAAAACTTACGCATAACAAGCATTTCGTCCTCACAAATACCAGACTTTGGAGTTCACTGAAGTCCAGTTTTAAAACTGTTCTTGATTGTTGTCGTAACACTCAAACTCTTACTTTGTGTCCTGACTATTTCCTTCCCACAACTTGGAAGTTGGTAGTTCCAAATCATGTTAAGCCCCTTTTTCTGTTCTTAGGAGACTTGCAAATGTAATTTATTGAATGGAAAATTGACTTTTTAACACCCACTCCTTTTCCACTTCAGTATTCCCTTGAAATAATTTTTTAGTTCATGTCTTTGGATAGTTTGCTGAAAGTCACCCTCATGTGTAGTACTTGGAGAATTAACCGCAGTGGATGAAATGTTGAAAATGATGATTACGTTCATGCCAGAACTAATGACATCGAAGAGGATATTGATGCTCAAATTGTTTTAGAGGCATCACATTTCATGCGCTGGAGCATTTTATTACATTGCGGCGAGCATAATATGTCAGTTGGTGCATTAGGCCTTTATCAGCCTATTTGGCATGAAGAACATAGTGTTAGTGGAATAGCCATCACCATGGCTTTCGCCTCATGCATGCAGTGCACGGCTGAGTGTATGGAACAGTGTTTCAGTTGAGGCTTTAGTAGTCCAACACCAAGATCTAGGGGTGTGCAGGTATGTTGGGAACCGGATACCTGTTTTATGTCAATATTCAATACCAGGTACCTGGGTACCCTTAATATATAAAGAACGTAACGAGTAGCATTGGGCGCAATCCTGCTGGACCATGCACTCAAAACAAGGCTCTTTTTTTGTACAAAGGAAACAGCTCTTTGTTTTAAATGTTAGTAGGGAATCTCCCCCACCTTTTTATTAAACGAAGTGTTACCTTCAGAATGTAACAAAAGTATAGCTCCGTCGATCTCTGAACCGGAGTTATGACCACGGACGTATATAAACAAAAATCTGGACTGTCAATGCCCTTATTCAGCTTATAGAGATCTTGGAATCCACTAGCGGCCATTTTACCGAGCCGAATACAAAGCTTGACCAGCAGTGCCCGCCTTTGTTCTCCCTGGCATCAATAGAAGCAAGCCAACCCGCGCATTTGTATTCGGCTCGGTAAAATGGCCGCTGGTTGGCTTCTAGACATTGCAAGTCCAGGTTCTTTTATGTACGTCCATAGTTATGACTGCCAGACCAGGTTTTTCAGTGGCGCAACAATTTTTCCAAAATTCTGCCCCTCGCTATTAAAGTTCACATACATGTTATACATGAAATTTTTTATGGGTACCCAGCTCGAAAAAATTGAATCGGTGTTTGATATTGACGGGCAGGTACCCGGGTACCAGGCACAGGCCTACCAAGATCTTAAGACATAGGGACAGGCTCAGACCTTAATATGTAAAACCTGTTACTAGACCTACATAAATCATAAAGGGTATGAAATGATTCACTAAAAAGAAGATGTTTCCTATTGTTACTAATTTATTTTCACCCGAAATATTTCCATAAAAAAGCCAAGCGCGTTGAAGAGCTGTACATCTCACTGGAAAGGAAGAATATGGACATCTACATCAAACGCTCCCAGCGGCTCTATTCCAACTCACCAGGCCCTCAGGCCCTCCTGACGCTGACGCTGACGGGAGCCGAGATAAGCGCCCTGGCAGACCCCTCCATGAACGGGACGACAAACATAGTGAGACTGATGAGAGAGATTGACAGTGCCAGGTAGGCTGGTTTCAACCACTACTGCCCCTGCACGAACCTTTCACTTTTCCCTTGTACTGTATAAAAAGGGGAAAGAAATCTTACATACGATGTACATTTATTTCAGTGGTGTCATATTTCAGCAAGAACGATACATGATAATGCAATCACATTGACATGTCGTGTAGATAGATATATTAACAATTGATTTAATAATGAATATTAACCTCTTCGCGACGGATGACGGTAAGAGCCGCCATAAAAATTGAGATCCTCAGCCTGCTTTTCAGCTATTATTCTCGGCCCACGGTGAAAGAAGGCATATCCTGGCTCTTGTATATATGGTGATTGGCCTTTGTGTGTTGCCAAGAAATGGAAAGGCCAAATTTGCATCATAATCACCAGCTTCACAATAGTCCCCACTTTGAAAAGAGGCAACGGGAATGTGGAAGCGTGAGTAGAGCCGCATGCCACCGAACAAGGAGCCTTTTCACTGTGTAATTCAAAGCGTGCAGAGCACACAGGGCCACAAACTGAGAATTTGTGGTTTGGCAGGTGGCTTTCGTGGCCAAGCGAGGCTGGAATTCTCGGAGTCAGCTTTCAGAAAAAAGTTCCCGTCGTCAAGGGGTTAAATAAATGGCAATGTCATATTGAGGTGGTTACCTCTCTCCGAACATGTAACTTTGAGCTGTTGTTTAGAGAGCAAAGGAACATGATGTTGAGTTGTTTCTTGTCCCCCAAAGCCCTTACCCTGTGGATGGCTTGGAATTCACCACGTTGTTTTGCCGCCTCGTACGTGGTCATGCTAAGATGCTAGACCTGCAGCTTCGTGGATACCCACAAAGTATCTGGAAGATCAGTGACTGGCACTTCTGGGGAAGGCTGATAGGTGCTGAGCAAGCGGGAACTCCCAGAGGTACTCAAGGGCTTTTTTGGGGAGTTTCTCCATTTCCCCAAGTGGTTTCTAATGTTGAATCTCTGTCAGAATTGCAGATAACACTGGATTGTCTGCTCAGGACAATGACAAAAGCACATGGAGGGTTTACAGAAACCTAAACTCGCCTAATGGGTTTCAAAACAGATTTGAAATCAGAAACAGAGGAGTAGGCTGAATAGGCTGATGTTTGATTGGAATCAAAGTGATTGCCTTTTGATTGTTTGTACTTGTTTGTCCCCCCCACCCCGCCCCTAGAAGTTGACATTACTTACCATTCTGGTTTTATCTTACACAGCAAAGCGTGAAAGCATCGTCAAGGTGGGGGAGCCGTGGGGTGATGCTAAAGTCACGAGGAGTATGCCACCATTGAAATTCTTTCATGATATGGCGACAGGTACATTTGTCTCTTTTTTTCACATTTTACCTTTTCTTTTCCAAATGCTATTGCGCTGCTTTGCCATTTTCATTTCTTTGTAGTTCTGTTGTTTTTTCAGCTGTGCAAAATTGTCCCTGGAATTTTCAGTTGCCACATGTGTACAATTTTTCATGACCTGAATGTTATTTAGTCTTGCAAAATCTTGTTTAGCTTTTTAAATGTTACAATCAAAATAGTAGTCTTCATTCAGCATGCAACTCTTGAACCAAACCTTGGAATGTAATATTTCAATGCTGTAAAAGGCCTCTGAATGTTAAACAGCCCCAAAGTATCCCTCAAAATTCAAATTACGAAACCATTACTGTCAATAGAATTTTGCCCTTTCCTTGAGACATGTCGAGTAACTCTACTTGATCCCATATCCAATTTCAACTGATTTTACATCTCACTTGGTCTTGCTTTCTTTTGAAGTTCCCCTGTGAACTTGTAGTTTGCCATGCCCCAACGGTTTCTTTGGGCACACATGCTCAAATAGTACTATTTAATAGAATATGATCATAACCTTCACCACAGATGCGACCGAGATGCATATTGCCTGGGGTCCCTGCATTGAACCTGCCTGGGCACAGGTAGGCCTGGCTATGGATATGCTGAACAAGGCCAGCGTGGACCCTAGCCAGCCCATGCCTTTCTGGGACAAGACACGGCTCTTGCTCCACGGCCGGCTCATAGCCTCAGTCCAGAAGTGCAACCTGCTATGGCTGTCCACCCGAGACCCCTATGTGTCTACTGAACAGCTGGACATGGAGTGGCAAAATATCTACATGGACTGGACCAACGGTGAGCAAAAAAACATTCACTGTTGATCATAGAACTAAGACTTATCCCTTGTGTGTTTCTGTTATCACTCATGCCAGACACCTTAGAAGTGATCCCATGGGGGGAGGGGGAGAGAGGAAGGGGGAAATTGGGGGTGGGGAGTGTATCACCTTCCCCTCTATACGCCATGCAGGAATTCTAGACATATTCTATGGTTTCCTCATGCAAGCCCAGACAAGCGTCATTGCATCCATGCCAGTGTCTCAGGGAAGGTGTATCCCTCTATCCTTTTCCAAGTTTTCAGATACCTACAGTAGTGCTTTAAGTGAGACCAACTCGCCGAGGTGTGGCTTCTCTCTGAAAACATAAATGGTTAATTAAGCATCAGAGTAATTTTTATTTCTCGTCCATGATGAGTGGTTCTGACTGGATAGAATCGTGTTTTACAAACCTGCCATATCCCGCTCTTGAACATAAATGGGATTAAATACCCTTAATACATCATAAGTCGTATTAATTACAATTTTTTTTGGCTGAAGGGGCAATGACTTTTTTTTCTTACAGCCCATTTCTTGGTGAAAGGAGATCTTGACGTCTATGTCCGCACTGCCTCAAAGTACGATGATGTCCGATTTATGCACCTACCAAACTTCAGACTGGAGTGAGTGCTCAATTTAAGGTTTTGGTTCTAGTGAAAATTGCTGGCATTGGATGAGTGTCTGTGATTCTGTCCACATGCCGCGGCTAACAACAAGTACCCAGAATGCAGTCATCCTTGAAAGCATTATGCAGATCTGTACCCTTTGTTATACAGGATCCCCAAGCAGGTTGGCAGCACCGAGGGTCGGCCAGCTGGGGCGCACTGACCCTCGGTGCTGTGAGGCGCTGTGTAGCATGCCAATTAGAATCTTTTTGACATCATGCCTAAGGAACCCACCATGTTGATCTGCAACTCCAGATGTTAAATTTTCCCTTCTGATATACTTGGTGTGGCTCCACTAAACATTGTTGAGGGTATCCTCAGCATCATGTGGGGATTTGTTGAGAACAGTAGCATACATTTATTAAGGCATAGGAAATGATCTTGGAACTTGGCATGTATTGACTATTAATGGAATTGCTTTAAAACTTCAAAGACCCAAATCTGATATTCCATGCCAAAACGAGACCCTTCCAGGCAAAAATGCTACTTCATTTGTTCCAAAGCCATAGAATTAATGTAATTAACTGTTTTTGAATTTTGATGAAGGAGCATAATCAGAGTCATTTTGGCAAACATTGACTGAGTGCGTTGAGTTCCAGTTCAATGCCATATTACTGATTCTGGTTTGTTAAAAATTAGTCACTAGTTTGCCAAAAGTTAGTTAACAAAATGTTAGGGAACTCCCTGATACCTTTGTATTTGGGATCTGTTTTGGACATGGAAACTTGTTTGTAACTTTTCTCAGAAAAGGAAGATTATTAGCTGTCATGTGCCTCCCTGTTCAGGTCTCCCCAGCCCCAGCTGTACTTTTCAGTTGTGGAGATGATTCTTTTCTCTCTCAGAATTGGCATTGCATGGTTGTGCTTTGGTGATCCTGACGACCATCACTCGGTGTTGCCTTGTGCCCCAGACAAAGTCCCTGACCACTCTAGGAACGAGGTAACGCTCCATATACCAGAAATTGATCTATAAGAACATCTGTAAAGTAGCACATATTTGCTTTCAACATGTAAATTTGGTGGAATTTGCGTTTGAGGAAACAACAGTTGTGTAAAGACGGATGAGCTGACCCAACATGCATCATACAAATGGCTGTGTATGTACACGACACGCAATACAACATCAGGGCATGTGATTATTAATGGTTAGATGTGCATAGCGGGTCATGCTGAGCTGTCACCCAATAGGATCCTAATGAAGTCATGGGGAAGTGCTCAAGCCAGGCACCGGACCATAATACCATGGAAAAGTACTGTTACCCAAACCATTTTGACTTTCGTCGTGTCCGTGAATTCAGCCCCAAAATGGTCATGTTGAACCATGAAATTTAAGGGAGAGTTGGCCCCTCATGACATTCGAGAAATGAAAATGAAATGTAAAAAAAAAAACATTTCACAAAAGAGATCATTTTTGAGCGTGGATCACAGTGGTATCATCAGAAGGACTTCTGCACATTTGGTGCATTTAATGGGCAGGTTCACTTCCTGGATTGGTTGCACGATTATGAAGAGAAAATACAAAATTTTTCTACAATCATCTTAAGACAGTGGGCTACTGTACACATTTAAGAATTTTTAGAACAAAAGCTTAAATAATCTTAGAAATCAGTGTGAAATTGTAATTTTAAATGGGACGTTTCTTTTATTACGATTTTGCACGTTCTTTTTTTTTAAAAAGTGGAAGAGGCACAAAGGCCATCACACACATGAACGTCAGGCCCCTTCTGCCCTTTCTTGCTTCATTACTGTAACCCATATTTTTGTTTTATTTCCTGAACAGAAACATGACTCATATGCAGCCTTCCGTTCGCAAAATCTCAACATGAACATATCGCTAGATATAAAAGGATATGAACAGGTAACATCAATCTATTGTGATTGTCATATGAAGACCAGGTTTTATTGACTTGTTTTTCCTCCAAAGTGCATACTTTCACTTCCCATACTCATCTTGAAGTTTCCTGTCTTCTTGTCATCCAATTTACTCTGGAGTGGATTCAGATCCGTGCACCAAATCTTAGTTTTTCTACCTAAAACGTGTGCCTTTTTTCCAGTCAGTGACATTTCCTTGGAATTGTTTGACATTTAACAAACTTAATACCAGAAATATGCTGAACTTCAAAACAGAATTCCTTTTGCATTTTTTTCTTTTCTTTGAAGTGAAACCCAGTTAAAATTTTGTAATGTTTCCCTGAAAAACTTTATGCACACCCATTTATTTCAAAAGGCCAGTGTTTTGAGGGGATTTTCTCGTATGGTTTTTTTTCTTAACATACTGCATTATCTTTAAACTCTTTTATCATTGTTTCCTCTTCCAATTTTTGCCTGTCATGACTCCAAAGGTTTCGCATATTTCCAGTTCTCTCCAGATCAAAAATCCCACAAAACAACTTTCCCACAAGGTCTCATATGATTCACCATGCTTTTAAGCAAAATGATAATTTTTTAATAAAAATTATGAATAATTCATCAAAGGGCATTTCACACCAAGGGTCAATGCTCTTTTGTCAATATTATCCCTGCCGAGTGCATGGATGTGGCGCAGTTAAAGTAAAAAGCCCTCCCTTTAGACAAGTCTTTTGCTTTTGAATTCATGACGAAAATCTCCATTTTCAGGAAGGGGAGGAGCCAGACATCGCAGGCGCTTTGTTCTATAGCACGACCATGAGATGGCTTCAGATGTTCCAGGTTTGCTTTGTTTGTTTGTCGGGCTGGATGTTTGTCTGCTTGTTACTGTCCACATTCTGAATTACGTGTACCTCATGCACAATAAAGTCAAACTAAGGTGATGAAGAGCAACCCTTGAAGATTTGCTGATGAAATACACACACACCCTTGTTCTTTGCTTTCTAGCCCTGGCTAAGTCCAAGCAAAGTATTGTCGTCCTCTAGATTCAAGCCGGCTGTGAAATTACAGATTTAACCATATGGATGACACCATAGGTTACAGAATTGCATGTCTAGGGTCACGTGGCACAGGGCCAAGAGGAAATGTTCTTCTCAAAACAAATATGATGTAGTTTAAATATCATTTGAAATACCTGTATCTGTGTACAACTGTGACATTCTGCTGTGTTCTGCACCCTTTTGTGAAGAATAAACGAGGCTTTTTAACCTCAGATTATGCATGCATGTCATTGGGTAAAAAGTTGCAGGTCACCTATCACTGAACAAACCCTTTCCTTTATTTAGCACCGAAAAAATTTTGTTTTTGAAACCCACTGGTGTGCTGTTGGTGTGCTAGATTCAAGCTGGCTGGTCCAGCTAGTTTTTTGCTAATTATGCTTCAAAGGCTCTAAAGAGCAGTGAATTTTACAAGAGTTTGACATGAAAGGGCAAAGCATGTCATCCAAATCTTTTATCAACAATAACAGGCAATCAGTTTTGTGGGAGCGACCCGACCAACTAGACGAGGCAAACTGTTCAACAACACCAGGCCAAGGAAGCCTACGCTTGGGAGACATTACAAGTAAGCCTTCAGATCACTACTAAAGACATGTCCAAGAAGACATCAGGGGTGTGTTTTTGGCAGTCACATCTAAGATTTGATGTTTTTTTTTTTCTTGGTTAGTTGGTTGGAGGATTGAAGTATTGCATCCTCACATATTCTCTTACCAAATTGAAAATGCCCACGAAAATCTCAGACGAATTACAGTTCAACCAATTCTTGGTCATGACTACCAAAACGCACGCTAGTGTTGCAGTGGCAGCCGTTGTTGTAGTGCAGACCTTCACGAGATCAGATACAAGACCAGTCACCAGATCAGTCAAAAGTAACGGGGGACAGTGACAAAGGAGTGCTCTTGTGGTTGGGTTCTTAACAGTGAAAATTTTTGACTAATTAATTTTTCATATAATCGGACAGTAGTATTGAGTATAACATGGCAACTTTTATGGTCCAGTTCATTACATTTGAAAACCATCATTTTCCCATTTATAATAAACAAAAAACCCACAGTATACCCACATGCTTAATACTGTAAGGCATCATGATCATACTTTGCAAATTCAGCAGAAAAGGTTGAATCAACCCTGAATAAATAGTGCATCAGTACACATTCAGTTTGTGCCCTTTGTTACGATATGAACATTGAAGTCCTAGCCAAACTGGTTGCTTTGATTGTTAACCACTTCCTGCCAAGCCTTTTCCATATTGATTCTGCAAGACTTCCCTGTCTGCCTGTGCAGTTATGCCTCTGTCATTTTTTAAAGTTTCAATGTCTAATTGAAGTAAAAAGCAATTAACTTGTGGTCACTGATGTCATCCCTTTACCGCTTTCCAGCTGGCCCACAGTACACAGGCAAGTTAAATAGTTTGTGGGATTGGCTCAAAACCTTTACAACAGGAAAACACAACACTGAATTTTGCATTATAGTAATACTTGTTTCCATGGGAGTCTGATACAGAAGTGGACTAATTTTAACACCATTCAATATATTTGATTGTTTCCTAGATTGTAATCACTTTGTTATCAAACGAAGTATGTATGACTGTAGTAATGGAAATAGCATTTGGGGGGAGGGGTTAAATGTAGTGCAAAGTAACTTGTCTTGTGATGTATTTAACGTTACATTTTAAGGTGTAATTTTGACCAATTTACTTTTGCCCATACAAGGAACATTGACTTCAAGGCCAGCTTCCCCACAGTGACTCTCAATTACTGGGCCTCGGTGGCAAGGCAGAGGGGTATTGAGATGTGCTTGGGGCAGGGCAGTCTGGGCTTCCGCTACAATCTGCAGCTGAATGACGTGCCAGACGGACTCATCCACAGGCCCAACGTGAGTAGAATCTTGATTTGATTGACTAAGAGACAGAGTAGCGTAGCACAGAATTTTGCCAAGCGTGCCAAAAGTATTTGCTTTGCAAAAACCGGTCACTGGACAAAATTTGCAAACAACCAATGCATAGATCTCTCAAACTCCAATCTGACAGGGCTTCATATGTTGAAATGGTGCGTGTGTACCATAAAGTAGTCCAGGAAACCAACTGTGAGAATCGCATATCTACCAAAGGAAAGGGAACTTGCTTCAAAAAATACACTCATTACTTGATTACAATAACACAGTGTTGCAGCCACATGTGCCATTTTTCTTGTTAAGATCGTTACAACAGGAAGCATACAACTGGAACATGATTGAGCTGTTTAACTTGTGGTTTCCTATAAAATAGGAACAGGTTGAGACTAAATGTTTGAAAGATCTTTTTAATACCAAAAAAAAAAGAAAAGAAACTTTTGACCAAATTCCCTCTTTAGTGTTGATTAAATTAATTGTGAAGTGGGGGCTTAAAGGAAGGAATTGCCTCTTTCTTTCTTTTTTTTTTTTTTTAGGCCTACTGAACTAGGACCAAGGCCTAGCTATTAGTGGTCGTTTGCACCATGAAATTTAAGCTGTCTATTCTCCTGGGTTGAAGTTGATTTCCTTTTGATGGTCCACATACTTACAGCTTTTCGTGACATTTTCTTCTACCAATAGCCTAAATGTGTCACCGAATGTCTTTGAAGCGGGCCTTCCATCTTATTCAGTTACATGTATATATTACATATTTATTTTTTACACAGTTTGCCTTATATGTACAAAAGTTTATTCTGAAATGTACTCCAAATATCAGAAAAGGTGACATTCATAAATTAGGCTCAGAATTTGTCATGGGATGTCACATTGTGATGCACTTGAACAAATTTCAATAAATTTTCAAGTCCAACCTCACAGAATTCTATGAAGTCCACAAATTTGGGTCAATCATTATAGTATCTAACTTTATGTTTTCATAACCAGTAACTGTGTAATGAAAGAAAATCATAAAACTAAAGATTTGAGAATAGATTTTGAACATGCCAGAATTTCACTTTCTTTGTAGTATACAATATTACAATTCAGGCATGCAACTTTTCTGTGGATCAGCTGACTTCACCCTCATATAATTAAGAATTGAAAAACACTGTACAGAGTCTTGTAAAGATTGGCATTTTTTCATTTTTGTCAATGTCCAAGTTGCATGCCTGACAGTTACTCAAGCAAGTGGATTCATCCTGAAATAAAATTGAAGTGAGCTTTATGCTGGGGACATGCTGAGATAGTTGTCATTAACAATGCATTGTCGCTCTCGTTAGTATCTTCAAAGCACTACTCAGCACATTTGATCAATATGGCAACCATTATTGGCTGTGCCTCCCCTCCAAACTTCCTGCATTGATTTAAAGATTAAATCACTCATTACTTGATTACAATAACACAGTGTTGCCAGCCACATGTGGCATTTTTCCTGTTAAGATCATGACAACAGGAAGCATACAACTGGAACATGATTTAGCTGTTGCATTTAGCTGCATTGCCATTGATGTATTTTCCAGAACATACTTTCTTGCTGATTTCTCTAGCGCCGTTCATTTTGCTGCCACATCTTGTCATCTTAAGGGGAATCATTTTTAGGTTGGCATAGTTTAACTGTCCTCGCCTTCACCTTCAACTCTGTGGCCCAGGGTTCAAGTCTCACCCAGGCCAACATGTTGATTGGATTTTCAGGCCCTACCAAATTCTGGTTCCCCGGATTACTTACTCTGGGTTTTCCTCCCATATCTCAAACGAAAAATTTCGTCATTGTTTTCTCCCTGACATCTTCAGGGAGAATGGTTTACCACTCATACAGGTAGGGCTTTACCTTGGTTAAAGATTAAATCATAGAGCACTGGACAAATCAAGTTTCAGTCAAGGGTTTTGACCGCCCTGAGCAACGAAAGATTTTCACAGAATGCTTTGCAGCTATCACCAATTCACCACCAGTTGTGAACGTGATACCCCTCGGAAGTCTGCAGTCTATCGTGACACAGCCGAGATAAGCAGCGTCAGCACTGTACTTGCGAATTTCGGCAAACGTCCCTCCTGTTTCCACTGCAACATAGATACTGCCCTCGCTGTCACAACACACCCCTGTCGGTCCCCACTGCCCTTGGAAGTCACCGATGATGTCCAATGAGATAACCAGGACACCATTGTAGCTTACCACAAGCAACTTCTTTCTCTTGTAGTTGGTGTAGATGAGCCGTTGCTGGCAGACAGTCAGATAATTCCAAATCATTGGAGTTTGGATTGTCTTAATGTGAGAGCCATCCAGGGTGTGGAATGATAGCTGCTCTTTGTACCTATATCCCACTGCTATCACATTGTCATCGTCCACGATAAGGCATGACCTTGTGCTGTCTTTTCCCACACTTGGTGTAAATTGGTGGAGCAACTGACAGTGTTTGTCAAAGACCTTGACTGAGAGACCATCCAGAATGACAAGGAAATCATTCTTGTTTCCCGCAACATTGCTTGCCTTGATTGAGTCGGGGAGGCTTAGTTTCTGTGGAATGTTGGGGGTTGGTGAATTGCAGTTTGGCGAGAATGAAATCAACTCTCGCTGCCCAAAGTCCACAGCAACAATTTTGTCCTTGGCGAATGCCGCAACGTAATTTACAAATGCAAACTCTGTCTGGTTTGGTCCAAAGGTTTTCAGATCAGTTGTTAGTTTCCAACTCTCCTCGGGCCGTTGCCTCAGCAACTCTACTGGAGACTGATGTTGTGGCTCTTCTTGCAGCCTCAGATCTGCAACTTTGGAATTATGGCTCTCAATCTCTTTGGCAACTGCAGAAGGCAATGAAGACAATATTGAAGACTGTGTCTTTTCTCTTTCTTTTGGTTTTTGAAATGTCGTGAAGTCCCAAAATTCCTTGTGAGTATGTTTCCTGTGCCTTGCTGTTCTCGAGGATTTGACCGAGGTAAAAGGCTGCAGTTTGACTTCATCATCCAGAATAAGTCTTCCAACTGACCCACACCTCTCACTCTCTTCAAAAGTCACAAAGCTTTCTTTCTCAGGTACTCTCATGTGCTGTTTGGCCATCAGTTCTACCAGTTTGCCATCAAGTTTATGCTTGAGAACAAGGAGCATGTGACTGTCAGCTTTACTGTCCAGGCAGTTGATTTCATCTGACATACTTTGTAGCTGGTCTGCCTCTTTTTTGATTGTGATTTTCGCTGCTTTCAGTTCCTCGACTTTGTCTTGATAAATATTATTCAAATCTTGTATCAGGTTGTCCTTTTCCTTTCTGATCTGTTCAACCTTATCAGGAACCCTTTCAACCTCCTTATCAGCTCTCTGGGACACCTTTCTTTTAATTTCGTCAAATTTTGCCTGAAGTCTCCCATACCACTTGTCTTGCTCAGTCCTAGCTTTGTCCAACTCGGCAACTGCTACTTGCAGTTTTGAAACCAGTCCTACGATACCTTGCTTGCATCTCACTTCAGGATCAAGTAGACTGACAATAGACTGCTTTGAGAATTTTTGATGTCGAGTGCAGCAAATGGTGCACAGTAGCTGCTCACAAATGACACAGTAGAAGTGGATGCTCTCCTCTGGATGTTCTCCACATTTCAGTGCATTACCCTGGAGCTTTCCTGCATCAGATACCTCTCCTGATCGGAGCTGGGCCAGCGTGCGGATTTGATGCCACTTGAGTATTGCCCAGCGCTCATGCATTTGCTTGCAGTGGCCGCAGATGAAGTCATCACAGGTCAGGCATCTTGCAATTGCCCGGTTGCCCTCACTGCAGGCTTCGCACTTGATCGCTGGGACGTGTCCTCGGGTCAGCAAATTCGCCATTATCAGTGGGCCGTGCAATAACTCTGTACTCATCTTACGTGGACTCGAGACAGTCTAAAACAGTTCAGTTAGAAATTTTAATATAAATGCTGGAGGTTCAGAAGAATGGGGAATGTTACAGAGTAGATTATTAATAGATGAATCCAAATGACTGAAACATCGGTAGTGTTGATAACAGCCACCTATGAGTTAAACACAAAGTAAAAGTTTCAAGAAACGAATACAGTTGTGAAATTCCTCCAAGGCTGGAGATTTTCCTGCTTTCATTGTACCATTATGGTGTGAAAAAAACCTCCAATGTTTTTGCATGAACAAGAGTGTTTCATTTAAGATTTTCTTTGGTGGAATAACTCATTGTAAAAATCTTGGACTCCAGGGTGTTGTTTCTTTTGTTCGGAAAATTAGGGCCGACTTTTGGAGACCTTTTTCTGCCCCAAGAGCATTTTAAGCCCCCACAACACAAGTGAAATAATGTGTATTTGTCTCCACAACTACGGAACAAGTGTGTCTGTGTGTGTGTGGGTGGGTATTAAAGTTGAGTTGTGTTTTCGGTTGTGTGTTTGGTTGTTGTGTCTTTTTTGGGGGGGGGAAGAGGGCTAACTTCTCCATATGTACGTCATCATGTTATGTTTGGATTAAAAGTGTCACAGGTGGTGTTACAAATTCAGAGTATCTGCATGCAGGATGGTATCAAAGTACATGTATTTCACTCAGGGAATAAGAAGTTAGTGCTCTTGTAATTTCATACAGCCATGTGGTCACTCCAGAGTAGCCACAAACTGAGTTTATCTTCATCTTGTAGTGATAAAAAACTTTACATTCTTTAAAGTTTGTTAAATTTTTGAAAATTTCACAACATTATCCAAAGTTACATGTAGGAGAAACCTTCAGGATCAAACTTGAGAGACCATCCACCACAAATGAAGAAAATACTTTCAAGGGTCAGTACTGTCTCCCCCTATCATACATGCACTTCCCCGTCTACTGCAGCAGGGCTGATTTCATGAAATTTCTCTTAGGAAGGATAACTTGTCCTTACTTGTGGCTCATCCAAGTATCGATTTTACCCAACTTAAGGCACATTGAACACATCCTGACATTCTTTTGATTGCAATACTGTTGAAATTCATTTTAAGATTGATCTGAGAGTTGTCATTTCTCATTAATCCATATGTCATTTTGTATACTGTCTGGAAATCATTGCTGTTAAAGATGAGTATTGTCCTAGAGATGTATATGTAACAGTTTTGATGAAGAAAAATTCGTTGGATGCCAGCATTTGCTCATCTTTGTGAAACAGAATGATGAACATGATGGGAAGGATAAATGACTCAATTGCATCTTGCATAGAACTACATGCGTTCAAAATGTATTGGAGTGATATTTCTGGTGAAAATTTGGCTTTGCACTTTTTTCAACAAACGTTTCATCAAATTTAAAATAAACATTAACAGGGAAACAGCCATCGCATTGATAAGGTTGATACATGCTGCTTAAGATACATGCAGGTTTGGTGGAAATGATCTCTGAATCTGCATGAGGAAATGTACATGTATGTCTCAGTTTAAGTCCTTACATGAGTTGCAAAATAAAATGAGTTCTGTGAAACTGGCTCCTGCTGGTTTTTTTTTATGGGGGAATGACCTTTTTCTTCACCCCAGCCCCAGGAAACTGTCTGTTCTGTGCCCTCTTTTCTGTCTTGTAAGTGTGCAGCCACGGGTGACAGCCACACACATCCAGAACAATTGCTGGGCTTCCCTTTTTTATGGTTGTCAAATTGTTCACAGTATCACCAGAATTGAGCAACCTTTTCATTGAAACATGCCAAAAGCGAGGACCTGTATCATTCCCCCTCTATGTGATAAACAGCCAAGCCATAAACATTCTCCTTTCCCTTGTTGTAGTCAACAAATTTCAAGAAATACTTTGTAATTACCAGCTCCATATAGTGTGTTGATAGTAAGCAATCAACCCATTCGAATTTCTTCAGCAACACCTGCATACGTGTACTTTTTAAAGGTTTGAGTCTGCACTCTGAGCATATTCTGTCATTTTTGCTCTTTACCCAAAGCCTGATGGGTGATACATTCAGTCAGTTTACAAGTCAGTGCCATTGTAATGTACATGTATTTGTACCCTTCTTCACGGGATAGTAAGCACAAAGCCCATGTTCAACAGGTGATTATCTTTAAGTGAATAAAGTAAAAGAGACTTACCCTTTTTTGGTGCGTGAAAGCTGTGTCAGTCCCAAATTGTCAATGAACCAATTCCAGAACCGTTGCAAGAGGCTAAACAACTGTACTTCCTGAGCAGTTCTTAAAAATTGAGCAGGAAGTACTTGTACATAACACAAATTGTCAAAGCACAATTGCCAATTTCTATTTTTAGACTGAATCAAACCGAAACAAATTCCCCTACATGTATATGCAGGGTTCCCACGACCTAGAAAAGTCATGAAAAAGTCATGGAAATTTGTTTTTATTTTCCAGGCCTGGAAAAGTCATGGAATTTTGTAAAAATGACTAAAGTCATGGAATATTTCAAACATACATGTGATTTCTATTATCAGAAATAAGTGCATAAAATGCATGATTTTATTCACAACTTTAAAAGTCCGAATTGTCCCAGAAGTTGTGTTATTGGGTCATGGATTTTCATAATTTGGTCATGGAAATGTCATGGAATTTAATTGTCCTATAGGCACAGGAACCCTGATGTGTTGGTTATTTTTTTGTGGGCAAAGAGCTTAGTGTGCCAAAGTTGAGTGCCGAAGATTGTATTCGTGCCGTGCAGAGCACATTTCACCTCTGTCAATACTTACAGTAAGTTACTTGCCCATTCATAACCACCCACTGGAAGCCACAAAGTTTTTGTACTGCATACAAAGACATGTATAAAAGTCGGTCCTTTATTTTTTCAATGACATGCTTTCAAGTGTATATGTTTGAATGTTCAGATTCGTGAAGTGTCAAATGTTTACAAATTAACCACTTCCTGCCGAATGGAATTTGCATATACAGGACAAGTTCTCAAGCGATTTTCAAGATTTTCTGTTTTCAAAATTCTTCAAAAATTCATAACTTCCTTACTAGACGCTTACACCCACACAGATGACTGTCTGGTGAGTATTCTAATCTAACAGGCAACTTCCACTGATGCCCAAGTATTGCAGCCAGGCCTGCATCCCAGTAAAGAGAGCCCAGATTGTGCGGTGTTGCATAATTTCCTCTGTTCCCAAAATTGGCCCAGTGCATTGCTGAATGGCAGTGGGGTCTTTTCAAATGCGGCCAGATTAGCATGCAGCCGTACCGTATCGCTCATCGCTGGAGTGCTGGAGCACTTTTGTCCCTGCTGATAATCTGCAGGCACCTAATGCCACAAACATTGGTATACTGTTTCAAAACAATGACGGATTACCTCCACTAATGTCAGCATGCTGTGCAGAAAAACATTGGCAATTCCCAGCAGTTCGGTCTTTTGTTCCGAATACAGTCTTTTGTTACAAGGCCCAGCTCCTTTGTTCGATTTTGGGCACCGCGGCTATGTGTACAATCCTAAGGTCCCCAGTACCAGGAACCCTGGCACCAGGTGGTTAAAACAAATCATGCAGGAAAAACTGCTTGTTGTACAATGTACTTTTGAGCATACCGGCAGTTGGTTCCTCCTTTACTGTACAAGTTATTTCAAGCCTTCACTTCTCGTGTAAAATACTTGTACATTTGAAATGAAATGAAAATGCATGCAGTTTCCACTGAGTATCTCTAAGAATTCAGCCTCTTTAAGCATTATGATAGATTTGTATGCAGTCTGTTGCAGCCACCAACAGCTGACCACTGCCTGAGAAGGCTATGCCAGAGGGACCATTGCAGTCCCTGATCACACATCCCTTGTGCTCACCATAGGGGCTGAAATGAAGGATGGAACCGGAAAACAAGGATTCTTGAACTGCAGTGTAAATGCTGCCATCTCTGTCACAGCAGACACTTCTAAAACCAATTGTGCCAGGGACAGTGTCAATGGAAAACAGCATGGCCCCGTTGCAATCCAAAGCCAGTAACTTATTGTTCTTTGAAGAAGTGTAGATGAAGCGCCGTCTGGAGACAGTCAAGCAGGTACCCATCATTGGAGCAGACACTTTTCTGATCGGGGAGCCGTCCATGGTATGAAGGGTTATCTCCTCACTTTTCTGGTAACCCACTGCTATTTGATTGTCATCATCCACAGCGATGCACGTGGGTTCATTATCTGGACCCTTGCCAGTTGTGAACTGGTGCTGCTGATACTGGCCATAAAAGATCTTAACCATTGAGCCATCCAGAACTAAAAGCTGGTCTTGCCTGTTCACTGAAATGCACCTTGGCTTCTTTAGATACTTCTTATGTAGACACCGGTATGTGGCAGAGAATTGAGCGCCCATGGGTGTGATGGAAATCAGTTCCCTCTGTCCACTGTCTAGGGCCACTGTCTCACCACTAGAGTACATTGCAATATCAGTCAAGGATGAATTGACATTGTAGAAATCTGCATATTCTGTTTTCAGTTTCCATGTCTGTGTTACAGATGCTTCTCTAGGACCGGCTGATGTTTTACCATTGGTACACATGTCTGCTTCTGATCTCTCAAACAATTTCTTTTGGGAATCACTTCCAGTGTCTGTGACCAGCTGTGGGTCTTCAGAGTCCGTGAACAGCAAAGTATGAGACAATTTTTCCGGTTGATGCTCTGTCAATTCTCTGAGGTTGTCCAAAAGCTTTGGCTTGAGTTCAAGAATCTCGTAGCAGCTTGCTTCGCCCATGATCCTGTGCACATCATCCAACTTGTTCTGTGCCCAGGCAATGAAGAGTTGAGGCTTTTTCTGTTCAGCTATTGTAACCAGCTCTGTGATGTCCTGTATGCATTTGTCCAGTGCTTCTGGTATTCCAGCAAGGGAATGCTCGGTGGATTTGTGGTCCAGAACTGTGCAGCTCGTGCATATCAACTGCTCACACGTGTTGCAGTAGAAGCAGAGATTCTGACCTGGATGCTTTTCACATTTGGGGATTTCCTCTCTGAGTTTGCTCTTGTATATGAACTCTCCTGATTCCAGCTGAGCCAGCGTGAAGACGCCATGTGACTTCATCACAGACATGCGGTTGTGAGCCCACTTGCATTCCTGACAGAGCAGAAGGTCACAATCCATGCATTTTGCAATGGCCTGTTGCTTTTCGGTGCAGTTCTGGCACTTGATCTGTTGTCGCTGGCCTTCCAGTAGCTGTTCCATCAGGCCGACTTCTTCCACCAGAGCTCTCAGTGTGAAGTTGGCGGGAAGGCTGTCCATTTTCATTGTCGTGGTTTGATGCCTACAGAGAGGGCATGCCACCGTGAGCTTTAGCTCTCTTCTGTGCTGATCGATGCAGGGCCTGAGCTGCTGGATGCATCGCAGGCAAAAGCTGTGCAAGCAGTCCAAGACTCTTGGGTCACTAAAACGACAGGAGCAGATGGGACATTCCAGGTGACCCTCACTAATTTTACGCAGGATCGATTCTGCTGTGATTCTTGATGCCATCTGGATGTCAGGAATACACAACCTGTAGAATGCAATGACACCGTACATAGTTGAAACACAAAAAAACCTCTGTACATGTAGGAACCCGTGAAAAACTACTGTTTATGGGTTGTATGGGAGCTGGGCAAGGGCAAATCTAGGGTCGGGTGCCAGAAAGAAGCCAAAATATTTTGTATTTTAAAAAAGAAAAAAGTGAACAATCATAAAATAATAAATGAAAGGCAGTTTTACTGTCTATTTTATTCCCCTTCTAAAAGAGTATAAGAAGCCCCCAAATGTAGCCACACCCTTCAGATAGGCAGTAACCGGTGGGTTTTGGCAGATCAAAACTTTGGTTCTGATCTTCTGAATCCCCCCTTGGAAAGGCTACCCTACTGAAGTAAACACAGGTTCCTGTACAGTTGTCGTCACTGCGCCCTTCAAAAAATCACAACAGCAAAAAGAGCATACTTGAATAATGCATTTCAAGTGCTGACAATGTCTACTAACCAAAACTATTTAAGTCCACAGCCTTGGGATGTTTATTTGAAACATTGTTTGTGTTGTTTTTAATGTAAGCTGTTTATTATGTTAAAATTTCCCTAAAACACTCTTTATCACATTTTTCTTTTTCTTCGTCTGGGAAGTTGTTAAGCAGTTTGCCGACGACCAACGTATATCGTTTATGTACCAACTTTGGATTACTTTGCTGACCAAAGCTCTAATTGCCAACTGATAACTTCATGCTCAATTTCTTATTTTGTTAAGGCTTCCATTAGCGTATACAACCTGTTCTAAATTGCATATGGCTGTTGGGACTACAGCAGTGAGTCCAGAATGTCTGACCATTTTAATCTTTGTACACAATTTGTTTTTCAAAAATAAGATCTAAAGGGAACTCCAAAAAGCTGCTACAGGAATTAGCTGCAAGATAGATTCAACTTTCTTCGGTTTTGGCATGCGGTTGCCCACTCCGAGAGAGAAGTCATTGTATTTCTTTCAATTTAAGACTGTTACCCATAAACAAATTGATACTGATACCACACACACACATAACAAACACATAAACATGAGTCATACCAAGAGATATGCTAACATGCAAGATATAAAGCCATGAAGATGATTGCTAAGACTCAGCCCACATTTTCCGATTGTTTTCACCTACCTCTCTTTCGAGAAATGTTTTTCTGCTATGGTTGAAACGTGGTCTTGCGCTACTATGCATACATTCAACTCAAACTTATTAAAATATGAGATAAGCTGGCGGATAATGGTTGTTCCAATCTGTTTTCCCCCTCTATCCCACAACTCATGACCCTTTTGACCCTCCGGATCATTGCATGCTGCACGTAAAGGCCTAAGTCTATTGTACGAGGCACAGGTTCCATTTTGCATGGTTTCTGGCACAGTACAAAAAACTCTGTATTATTATAATTGTGTTGTACGAAAGCCCTGTAATGCCATCAAGTACATATTCAAATATTGAAGTATATTTTTCAAAGTCTCCATTCTTAGGAGACATGTTTTAGCCTACTTCGATTTGACAAGATATGTTTTTTCCAAAGTTGGTTTGTTCTAATGAAATCTGAATCGAGAAATATCGTTTTTATTTTGGGCAAAAAATTCTTTTTACAAGATATTTTTGATGAAGTTTGTTTTTCATGAGATATGTTTTTTCCAAACTTAATTTTTAGGGGACATACATTTTCAGGCTTCTATTTATTCCTCACTGGGACAAATTTTAAAAATATATAACTCATAATAACAAAATTAAAGAAAATCCCCTAAAAATGAACTTGGAACAACATATCTTGTAAAACCCATTTATTTCCAAAAATAGAAACAATTTTTCTATTTATAGATCTTACTAGAACGACTCAGCAAATATGTATCCCAAACAAACAAACTTGGGAAAAATGTGTGTCGGAAAAAATGAAGTTAATTAAAAATACACTTCACAAAAATGGTCTTGGACAGATTCTACTTCACTTTTTGAAAAAAAAAAACAACTTGATGGCATTCCAGGGCTGTCGTAATATTGCCTTGGTGTTCAAAGTCCAAAATCATTCTCAGTTTTAACTGACATTGTTTTCCAGGAATAGTATACAGTTATTCAGTCTGGTGTTGAAGTGGTGGGTCACAACTATGGTGGGTGTTTCAAATATTGAAGCAAAATTAGATATTTAGAGACATCGGCATTTCGGAAAAGCCCCTTAAAAGTATTTTCTTCCCTATGGACAAAACAGTCATGGCTGAAATAATTTCCAAAGAATGGGTATCTAGAAAGAAATGCGTTTTATTGTAGTTTTTGTGTTTTGTCCCCGTCAGAGCAGAATTAGTGAACCTATGTGTAATAGATTTCCAGTACATGTATAATTTAATCACCAAGCAGAGATAGTGCCAGATGTTCCATAAGAGTGATTGATGATCCTCAAAGAATGCAGCATTTTTCCAAGAGCATCATTATTATTAAAGATCAACATCAATTCCTTAAACATTATTACTTCAAATTTGTTAGCATTTTTTTCCAGGGAAAGCAAAATCATCTAGAGTGTGTGTTTACAGCGTTCATACTTTGATAAAAAAAAATATGTACATAAATTTAAATGCTTTCAGCAACTTCTGGCTTTATCAATGTACACCACACGACAAAAGGAAAGCAAACTTGGCTCACGAAAGTTACAGATCATAATGCTAAGACAGACTGCAGTTGGTCTGTACACAGCTTTTGCATCTACATGTGGGTAAACATCACAACAGAGGGAGCCTTTGAACTGTCATTCAGTGCCTGAAGGACTGAACCATTCTCCAAAGCAATGAAAGTGAAACAAGTCACCTCTGTATTGACAAAACCACTGCTCTAAGTTTTCTGAGGTAGGAGGAGAAGAATGCAGAGGTAAAATCCGAAGGGTGATAAGAGAAATAGACAAAATCATATGTTTTACCTGTGCTTTTATGTCATTTCTTTATTTTCTTTTGTGTTCTTGTAACAAACCATTTCAACAATTTAAGTTATGTTCTTTTAGATAAATGGATAAATTCTGTTGATGATACAAATTCCTTGTTCAGCATTTTTGGAGGGGATCAAATTGTTTAGTTCACTGTCTGAGCCACTTTTTTCCAACCCATTTTGTAGCTTTATTTTCATTTTTTTTCTTTTTTCGCTGACAAGTTATTTGCCATTAGTTCATTGCCCAGGATTTGTGGGGGGAGGGGGCTTCCTAGCAACAATGCACAGCAAGTAATGAAGAGGACAAAAGACTAAATAGTGAACATTAATAACTATAACTACCCTGCAGATAAAGACTTGCTGTCTTGTACATTCCACAGCGACAATATTTTTACATGCCCCACACCTTTTTGGAATTTTGATTGGCCATTATTTTACTTCAATTCGACATTTCTTTTCACATTGAAATCCTTGATAACAATTCTTACAACAATTTATATGTGTTTATACAGATTATTTGCAAACAGTGTATATTTAAGTGTACATGTACAAATCTAATGATGTCAACATGAAGGAAAAAGGTGAAGCCAAGCTTTTGTACCTTTCCCTGGGACAAGCCAAAACAAAACAAGACAAAACTTAATCAACTACACGGACTAAAACAAGACATTGTGTTTAAAAGTGAGTCCCAGTAAAATATGTAAAAATGATGACTTAAGCAACATAACAATGATTTTGTTAAGTATAAGTATTGATGATTGATTCTTTCAGTGATTTGGCAAATGAGACCACGGTAGTACTCTCTTTTAGACCAGTAAAAAAGGAAGTTCTATTTTTGCTCACATATAGATCGCCTTTCGACGAACTACGGGTTTCATGAGAATGAACAGAAGAAGTTAATTAGAACAGATGCTTAAAAATCTCAGGGAGCATATTATGTGTGTATTTATACAGTTGAAGATCCCCCAAAAGCGAGTAGTCCATAATTCAAGTGTGAAAGAATAAAGGAGTTATATAATATTAAAAGAATGTTTTTAGGGACAATATTCTTCAAACGATTCATAACCTCAACATTTTTAGATACTTTACTAAATAAGACATCAATGTGGTGATTCCAAGTCAGGTTTTCATTTATACAAAGTCCAAGAAATTTAGTAGTCTTGAATTGATTGAGGACAATACCATCAAAACTAAGAGGAACTGTGGCCTGATATTTATGTTGGCATGGACAGAAAATAATGTAGTTAGTTTTAAGCAAATTAATTAATAACTTGTTTGAAATAAGCCATCTACTTATTCTAACAAGATCAACATTAATATTTTGGATAGCTGTATCCACATTATGATGATTATAGATTAAACTAGTATCATCTGCAAATGAACAAAAGGACATGCTATCAGAAGATCTACATACATCATTGATATAGATAATAAATAATAATGGACCGAGCACACTTCCTTGAGGGACTCCACAAGTGATGGACTGTTCTAATGAATGATGGAAATCATAAGAAAAAACTGCCTTCTATTTGATACGTAACTTCTGAACCAGTCCAAGGGCTACCCGCAAACACCAAAATGTTCTAATTTATTTAGCAGAATGTCGTGATTAGCAGTGTCAAAGGCCTTTGATAGGTCTGGAAAAATACCAATAGAAAAACTGCTTGTTCTCAAAAGCATCAATGATTTTACTTAACACATCGAGTACAGCCAACTCCGTAGAATGATTTACTCTAAAACTGTATTGGGATTGAGACAAGAGGCCATACTTATTAATAAAAGCAATCACACGACTGAACACAAGTTTTTCAAATACTTTGGAAAAAACAGGTAAAATAGTAATAGGTCTATAATTAGTGAACTCGTGCCTACTACCACCTTTATGTATGGGAACCACTTTACCAAGTTTCAATTCGTCAGGAAAGACTCCCTTAGAAATTGATTTATTTAAAAGCATAGCAAGTGGCATATCATTATGCCACTCATGCACAGTTCAGTGATAAGGAGCAACCCACTTGAGGGCAGCAGTCATCATTGGCAACCTGTGAGATTCTTCATCATGCACTTCCTGATTTTTTATAGCGTGTGGAATGGAATAACTTTGCTACAAAGTAAATATACAAAAATGTATTCAATCGTGTATGTTTGCATGGGCATAGGCAGGGACGTGTTACCGGCAAAATTTCATGTTGAAGTGTTTATTTGTCGTACATGTTGCGTCACCTTAAAGGTGTATTTTCTACATGCCAATACCCTTGAAATTAGAAATCCAATCAGACTGAATGTTACATAGGCAGGGATTTGGGATGTGTTATAGATTAACAAGCAGTCACATTGGTAATTCACAGTTTCACTTTTTAGGAAGTTTGATTATATTCAAAACAATCTTTTATGCATAAAAACTAAACCGAGATTGCAACTGACGTCAAAAGGGCGAGTTGAAGTTCTCCTTCATATCAGGCAAAATGTCATTGGGAGTATCCAATAGAAGCCTGCCATGATGACATCACACTATGGCTTTGCAATTATATGACTGCATGGTTCATTATTTTGGGGAGAATGCACCTGTGTGCATGAGCTCTGTGCTTGCTCAAACTGAACTGTGAATTAAGAGGTCAGACAATCAGAGGGACTAGTTGGAATTGCTGCTTTGTCAACAATGCTTGTCAGGCAAGTCAAGGCGATGACAACACTGGATTGTATGATAAAGTTAAATTGTCCCAACTTGAATTAGAGTTAAAGTCGTGATGAATACCAGGCACTTGGCCACAGTCTCTTGCTGAGAATGAAATCTAACTTAATTTACCCGTTTTTTCTTTGTTCTTGTGCTATAAAGTCCCCATTATGACTGCAAGGTCAAGAAACTCTGGGAGAATGAGAGCCATATTGTGACATCATCAACACTAGTTTTGTTTGCCTCCCCCAATGACACAGGGTTTTACTCTGAGCATTTTTGCAGTGAACCTTAACTCCCCAAATGACACTTTTTTTTTTTAATGAGAAGAGAAGCTGCCACCTTAGTCATATGGGTCATAATAACCAATCCCCTGTTTAATAACCTTTTTTTGCATGAAAGCAATGTGACTGAACTTCAAAAAAATTGCACCTACATTATGTCAGTGGCAGTACACATTTATGGTAATGTCCTGTGACACCATGGGTGGAGATTTCTTGTCACATGTGGGCGGGGAAGATAGCTCAGCACAGCCTCCATCCCAAGTGAGATTGTCACACGGGCAGTGACTTCAAAAGTGAGTGTGTGTTGGTGGGGGGGGGCTGATTTCCCTATGTCAAAAGGGGAGGGGTTATATCCCCATCCCCGATCCTCGGGAACTCTGCCCATGTGTGACACTGACATTACCTTAAATGTGCACTCTTTGGGGATGTGCTGTTGGTAGCAATTGAAGCGACAGCATGGTGCACTGTTAGGTGTCATGTAACTTTACCTTAAATGTTTACTCTTTTCAGGCGGATATCTAAAGAGAACCATAACCGATCAGAAATACATTTTTGCACAGATGTGACCATATAGCAGTTTGTGTTGAGCACGCTGAGATACAATGTTTTGGCGTGAATGTGAAGGCGCTTAATAAGGATTTAATGTTGTAACTTTGATTATGTCAAATTACACAATTTTTTTCAATGAAATTAACTGTAATAATCTTTGATTTAATCTGATTCAAAATTCAGGGGGAAAAATGAATTTTACAAAATATGGAGTTACAACATTTTTGCACTCAACGATAACATGGCTAGAGGGGTGTTTGAAAAAAAAATGAAGTAAACTATTCAGTTAAATGTTTAAGCCTGACCAAGCCCCCACTCCTTGTTATACAACAATTCTGACTTGATATACTTTTACCAATGCATGTTGCAAGTACACACTCCAAAAACACAGCAAAATGCAAACATACATGCAGCCATGTGAAACTGTCAAAAAATTTACAGCACTACGCACTATGCATGGTTAAGTTCTACAAAGCAACTCTCTTCCCACAAAATTACAGACACCTAAAGATAAACTTAAAGTATCAGTCTTCTTGTAACTGTTAAAAAAACCTTCTTACCTCATAAGTAATATTGATGTTTCTAATATAAAGAAACAAATTAAATATGCAGTCAGACAATAAGAGCAATTTATAAGACAGCTAGGAACATCTGTTAAAGCACGTACTGATTTGTAATGTGTCAACTTTGTATGGCAATGTCATAGTAGACCAGAAAGGAGGATCTATTGTTTCGGATTCCCACCATGGAAGGAATAATTTGAATGGATGTTCCATTCAACTGGGGTTAATCTTGTCCAATCTGTCACTTCATGCAATTATTCTTACCATTGCACTTACCATTACACTTAAAAATTATGAAACATGGTTAAGACCAGGAAATCTTCGTCAGCTGTATCTAGGGGGGAGTTTTCATGTGTGTTTTCTCTGTAAGAGTAGTGATTTGGAAGGTGATAAGTAACAATTGTTGTTCGTTTGACTTGATTTTTCTGGAATATACAGGCTTGTTTTGTCTTAGTGGCTTTGTAGTAGATATGCCAACTCTCCAAAGAGGATAAGTTTATCATTTTTGGTGAAAATCATACCCCTTGGAGGTTCACATTTCTTGACCACACATCCCAGGTACTTGCCCTTTGGACAGTAACAGTGGACCTGTCCAGCTGTTACGGCCACAAAGATTCTCCCTTGACTGTCGCAGCACACTTGTGATGGGGTGCCAATATTAGTGTCATGGGCAGCCCCAACATTTGTGCCATCGTAGCCCACTGACTGTAGCCCATGTGAATCATTGTAAATGATACGCTGGTTGCTGAAAGCCATTGAATGCATGTACCTTGGCATTGGGATGTGTAGTATTCTGTAAATAGACCCGTCTGGATTGTGCAAGGCAACTTTTCCTCTCCTAAAACCCACTGCAATCAGATTGTCATCATCCACAGCCAGACATTTTGCATAATCACTGGACTCTTCACCACGAGTGAACTGATTAAGAAGCTTCTACGTGTATTTCCGATCGAATACTTTGACATTATGTTTGTCCAGGTGTAGAACGATGAGTTGATCGTCTTTTTTGTTGCAACATGGTGTGAACGAACAAGACATGGAGTGCGCTGTGTTGTTAAAGGGGGTTCCACTATGAATCTCAATGTCGTGCAATCCCAATTTCCCAAATAACCATCTTTGTGTCAAAAAATGAACATCCACTAGAATTTTTGGTTCATGTAAATCTAAGAATACGTTAGTTCAAATTACAATATTGACTGATCTTTATTGGCCAACACTGAGATACACAGATGTTACCACTTCAAAGTACAAAACACGAAAGCTTACCTTAATTCTTTGTGATTGCAATATTTTCACATGAATATTTGAAATTTGTTCCATCGAAACGTGGCGGTGATGCCATTTCACATGTAGGTACACACATATTGCACATGTTGACACCATAATTATGTGAACAGTTTTGGGAAATTCCCAGATCTATTTTTACACACAGACAAATAACACTGGTGACCCTCTGCAGTCTGCACGTACACAGGGAGTTTATACATGTACATGTATTGTGATGCACTTACTGAGACAGGTTCTTTAGTAAGCAAACCCATACATTGTATGCGCAGAAATTAAGCCTACACACATGCATACATGAGCCAAGTTAATCTGAAGACATCAGAGTTAGTTTCGTCCTAAGATTACATAGGCTTGTTAGTTTTTTGTACATGTACATGTAGGTGCTGACTTATCTGCTAATGTGTGTGGCTGTATTTGAATATTGTTAGAGCGTCGGGCTTCAAAATCTTTTAACTTTCCCCAGGATAGCTCCAGCTTATTTCAAGCGTTATGGTTGGAAAACTATACTTTTGCTTTGGCATTTTTTTAAGCTGACTCTACATGTGCATAGGTGAAGGAATATCATGTCCTAGCTGAAACAATGGCTAGCATTTCTATTTATCGTTGCTTTAGGCTTGAAACAACCATGGAGGAAGAAAAAGACTAAAATCCTCAGATAATGTCAGTCGAGAGAGGCTTGTGCATACAGTGGGCTTGTCAGAAGGCACAGCTCATGGATAGGAAGCAGCTGGACTCAAATCCATCTCAATCACAATTCTTGGTGTGGAGTTGATCATGTGACTACTAATGTAGATTATGTATATGCAAGTTCCCCAAAGCATAAGTTTGTTTTCAATATCAGTGTATACGTATATTGACCAGACTTTTTCTGCCTACTACAGAAAACATGTTAGCATGCTGATAAAGAAAAAGATCAGATTGCAGCAGGTACATATGCTGCCGTTTGGAGCTGAGGAGGTGTTTGTGCTATGTGATGTGTCACTTGATGAGCTTTGATCTGATGGCAAAAACAAAATGTCCACAAAGATTTGAATTACTTGAAGTCAAGATAATCGGCAGACAAGGATTGAAGTTACAGCAATTTCTGTCAAGTTCTAACAGAGCATCCTTCAAAATACAGCTTTATTACCTGTTTCACTGATTTTCATAGAAGGTGGATGATTGACATATGGCAGTCAAAATATGGAGGGTTGTATGTTGTCCCTCGGTGAGATTTAGAGGAGAAAATTATCATTGGCTAGCAGATAACAAGTTTGAGAAATACTGAAAAGATTATCATAAGTAGGTCATATTTTCATGAAAATAAGGCATGAAGACTGTGCGCTGTTACAAAACACAGCAATGAAACAACGGCATTGCTCTTATTGGTCTAATTGGTGGTACATCTTCACCTGTAGCCAGTTTCCCATTGGACAGAACAAGCCTTCCGAGGGTCAGTTCTCCTTCCTCAAAATCCCATGTTAGCCTGTCATCAGCAACAACTGTGTGTGTTCTCGTGGTGAGGAGTTTGAGGTTGGCCAGGATTTGGGGCTTGAGGCTGAGAATCTCGTAGCTGCTGGCCTGAGTCATCAGGCGGCTCACCTCTCTTAGAGTGTGCACAGATTTGGCCCGCATGCATCTGTTGATGTCTTGAGCGGTGTCAAACCTTGTGGCCCTGTCCTGGTAACTCTCCTCTAGCTCTTGCGTCAGTCTCCGCTCCTCCTCCTGGATCTTGTCTATCTCCTGCCTGGCCTTTGTTGAAATTTTCTCCTTGACGGCAGCAAATGCAGAGTCTAGCTTCTTGCGGGACTCATCGGTTTCTTGCATGACAGTGATCAGTTTTTCATGGTTCTCCTCGGCTTGAGCTCTCTGAGCCATGATGCTTTTTTTAAATTGTTCTAGCGCTTGGGGTAGGCAAATGGCATTGTGCATTGGATGCTCATGTTCTTCAATAGAACATGTTGTGCATATGACTTGTTCACATGTGTTGCAGTAGACACTGAGAGTCTGATCCGGATGCTTGCCACATTTTGGAACTTCTTGCCTGAGGTCACTTGTGTAGACAATCTCTCCTGATCGCAATTGAGTCAGTGTGGAGATTTGATGCGATTTCATTACAGTCATACGTTTATGTGCTCTTTGACATTCTTGACAAAGGAAATGAGCACAGTCCATGCATCTCGAAATTGCCTGATTCTCATCATCACAGGCTTGACATTTGATCTCTGACCCTTGACCTCCAAGAATCCTTTCCCGCCATCTAGCCTCCTCCACCATAACATTCAGTGAAGAACTGTCAGGTAAATCTATCACCCCAGTGCCTTCCAGTGTGGTTTCCCGCCCACACACTGGACACGTTAGTTTGACCCGGCTTGATTCATGGTTCCGTCTGCGGTCTTGCAAGCACTTCAAGCAGAAAGTATGCAAACAGTCCAACACTTTGGGCTGCCTGAAACGATTGGTGCAGATGGGGCATTGGAGATGATCCTCAGTAATATTCATCACTGACTGATCTGTATCATCACTTGCCATCTTGGCCATCAAGAATGCGTTTGGCCCTTTTCCCCTGCAAGTTTAATCATCAAAAGTTGACTTTGCAAAAGATCCTGTTTCTCATGTCCTACTTTAAAAAGTCTCCTTGCCCAAGAACTTTTGGAGTCTTCCCGCCTTTTGCACAAACCCCGGCAGGGAAATATATTGAAACACCACGGCCGCGTGATACTGTATTTGCCTGGTATTAAAGCTGATATTCCCTTGCTTTTAAATTGTACATTTGTCGTCGTTGAATCATTTATAAAATAATTATTATTATCATGATCATTATGATGGATTTCTCATGAAACAAGTTGGAGTTTTTGCGAAGCATCCTGTTCATTATTTTGCATGTAGAAATGTGTAGCAATCTTGGTGTTGTGTATAAATTGGATAACCAAATTACCAAATTATTGTGCAGAAAGTAGTAGCCTAAGTGCTGTTAAAAAAAAAAAACCTTGTTTCCTTTTCAAAACATAGACAACTGAAGGGTGTGAGTCAGGCGTGTATGCAAACCCACATGGATTGGTTCCTGTCCTGTGCCTTTGAGATTCAGAATTCTACTTATGACATCAGAAACTAGGGGTGTAATGATATCATTTGAGCAGCACATGGTCTAATTGTAATTATAAGGGTTTGTTGGACCTGATCATGGGGTCTGGGGTTTTTAATTCAGCAGCAGGTAACCCATTGTTACCTTGATCAAGTCACAACAAACCCTTCTTCAACCTCAACATGAGTGCTTTTGAGAGAGACAACACCTGCACCCATCGCCTTAACCAGTGAGTAAGCAGCGACACCGCACTCTTATGCAGGTGGTATGCTCATGTCCAATACCTCTCTCCCCGGCCAATAGGATGCTGTAGTAAGCCAAAATGACAGTACATGTATGTACATGTTTGAGAACATGCCACTGCAGGAATGGCATTCCCACCTTTTACTAGTATGTATCATAGAGCAATGTGAATGCCAGCTAAAGTGTTTTATAAGCACTACAATCACTTTGATCAATTTGTCTTTATGCATGATAATTATAAACCAAGAATGCCGCGCTTAAACACCATAATAAAAATGCAAATGAGCTGAATAAACTCGGACCAGAAAAGACAGGGAGGAACTTATTTAAGGAGAGCATATTTTTCAATTGCAAGAATTGACCTCTAATGTAAAAATTCAAAAGCAGCTCAAACGTGCACAGAGTTGTACACGATGCTGACAAGAATTGCTGCTGGCTTTTCCTGTTCTTGGCTTTTTTTCTACCTGAAGGAATTTTTACAAGTGGGGGAAACTTTCCCTTAAAATATTAAGTAATATGGAAATGTAATGAAGCAAATAAGTTGATTTAGATTCATGGAGATCAGAAGCTGAACAGAGCAGACATATTTTGGGGAGATCCCTTAATACAAATAGTTTTATTCTCTTTATGCAGTAGGTAGTAATCTTGATTTAGGTTATTTTTTGTCTTATTCATGCCCCAACATTCTACCCTCTTCTGTTCTGCTGAGTACTTTATTCCTACATGTACATCGGTTAAAATCAAACGTAAATATTAAGAGCATGTTTGTCTGCAGAGATATGATGTCACAATCACTCGAACAAAGAGCCTTCTTGGAATATTTCCAACATGAATTATTTTTACAAGAAAACATTATTGACAGAACAGACTTGTACAGTTTCAAAGTGAAAGAATGTCTACACTTACCTGAAATCAAAAGCAAACTACCACATCAATGGATATGGTGAAATCATCAGTCGTCCTGTTTTCGACAAGCATCATGTGACTGCTCAGGCCTCGTCACGCGTGAATCCCCAGACCTATTATGAGGGGCAGTGGCTCACGTGACACAACATGGATTGCATTAACATTTGCCCACGCATGTGGTCCCCTGGCAGTGGGGTCGGCCTTGCCTGTGTGTTCTTGAAGCCAACTTTCAACATAGGTCATGCACAGCTCATGTAACCCAGGGGATGTGCATGAGATCACGGAATGCATTCAGTTTGAGATTCCTTAACATCAATTAGATGATTAAAATTGGAAATCAAGAAATGGGTTCAAGAGGAAAAGGAAGGAAAGCTCCCCAAAACAGTTGATTAAATATGCCCTTATGAAGACAAAGTCGGTAACATTCTGTTAGTCATCAGCGTTATTAGGAAACTTGAGCCTTCCATGATCCAGGCAGACATGATGTTTGCACATTGTGTCATTGAACATGACTTTCATGCACATGCGCAGTAGTTGAAAGGCCGATTCACATGTACATTCCTTTTAATCCCTTTCCCAAGGCTAATAAACATGTAGGCCTACAATGGAAGTTGTAGTAGACTATGGTTCATTACCAGGTGAACTTTTCTACTGTAAAGGGGAAGTGATTTTAGTCTTTCAGACCCTCGCTGTTTACATGTAATGTTAGGACAACATCAGTTGTCAAAAGTAAACCTAAATGTATGTATGATACAGACTTGCATGCTAGGTGCATTAATTGATAGCTCTCTTGAAACACTTGTCTAGAATCAAGCAGAATGCATGGGGACTAAATTTATTTGGGGGTAAATAGTTTATATATGGTACAGCTTGAAAAATTTGCCGCAGTTTTCAAAATTCAGGTAAAGTTGCAGTTGTGGAATAAAGTAGCTCATCAGAAGTTTAGAGAAATAGCCCTGTTCTTTCTTCTTCTTTTCCAGAATTAAACTATTCCTTGAAGAATAACTTTGCCAGATTAAAGGTCGTGTTTAGGGTGTGGAAATCAGTGGACCGTTTGCAAATACCAAGCACAAATTTGAAAGTGTTGGGACCTATTCAGTTCTCTGTACATACCCTTCATTTTCATATTAAAAAGAAAAGAAAGCCACAGAATTTTGCTTCAGGAAGGTATCTTATATAGTTGTGATTAAACACAGAGAAAAGAAAATAATGCTTTAATTTAACTGTGCTAAATACGTCAAAACCCAGTAAGAGGTCACACAAATGTTAGCAGGATGTAGGTGGAGCCCTGGCAACCACCAGTAACTGGCATAGCAAGAGGTGCATCTTCACTGTTAGGGTATTAAAGATGGAATTTGAGATAATTTTAAAGCGAGCATTGTGTAGATAATTAATGTGTGTTTTGTTTTCTGAATCAGATCAACTCAACTTTTCATTCTATTCAATTGTAATTCAAATTGAAAGTAAACAAACAAATGCATGTACACTTCAAGAAAGCAAAGAAAACTCCATGTTAGTCACTTAACCAGCATCCAATCAAACAAAATTGCAACCTCATACTCAGGGTTTCTTCACATTTTATATCATATGAATACTAATTAAAAACAGGTTTTACCAATGTACATGTACACACATCTAGCACTGTATACTCTGTGTTTGTCTGAGAGCTTGAATAAAAAAATCACAAGCTTACTCAGGTGGGACTCAAACCCACAATCTCCTACTCATTAGTGCAGACATCTTAACCTCTTGACCACTGAGTTCACCGGGGTCAGCTGGCCAGTCGGAGTTAGATGCAGCAGGGAATATTGCAAACTATTGCAAGATGTATTTGAGTCGGGGAGATGTTAATTTTAATAACGTATTTTTTCCCTTGCTGATACCGATGTAGTGTAACACTGTACACTCAGTGTTTGAGAACTTGCAAAAAAATTTCACAAGCTTAAGGAACTTATACCGGTATGCAATTTTCTAAGACTTTTCGTCTTTCCCAACTGATTCAATATTTACTGTAGCTATAAATGGTCAAACTTTAGTTGGTCAACATGAAAGCTTCTTTTCAAGTAGATAATATTTTGTCATAAGTCACAGAATGATTCCAGACAGATAGAGCCAAGGCCCACTTTCAGTTTCATGGTAACTTACCATTAGTTTCTGACAGAGTAATTGCACATCTAAGGATCAATCCAGATTTAGGTAAGACTTTCATCAAAGTATCAATAGGCCTACAATGCCAATTGTCACACCCTAGCTAGTGTCTTATAGGATAAAGTAAATATAGGCACAAGCCCTACTAATCATGACATCAGTACTCACAAATAAAAGTATGCACCACACAAGAAAATGTATGAGATTCCACATAACATACAGGCAGCAATTATTTTTATTCTTAATGGTTACTCCCTTGTTCTACTTTCTCTTTATAAAAACTAATGCGTCACTGTTAAGTTTCATAATCTGAAAACTATGTGAAGGTTTGAATATACTTCATCTAATTGCTTCATGTGTGCATACTTCTGTTGTTCCTTAAAGTGTGTACAGATATCTACCTGACTGGAGACATGGAGTCTGTTTTGTTTGCCTAGCCGTTTCCCTGTACCAGCAGTACCAAAAATGTTAAATGTAATAGTTGGCTGAAGACATTGCTTACAAGTTCATTACTTGCAAAGCTCAGATACGTGTACATTGCTAGTACTATTACTGGATATGTAATTTAATGAATCTTCTTGAATTGTTAGGCCAAGACCTCAACAGCTAATGAAAAATCCCATATTAATTTGACCTCATTGTTATTAATGCTAGGAACTTTGGCGGTCAAAATTACTTATAAGGGATTCAAGGAATGCCTTCATCAGGTGCCTACTTCTTACATGCACAAGGCTGAGTAAGGTCATAAACAATACTAGCTCTAGCACTTTAGCTAATTTATAAGCAGTGTAATGTTCTGCGCTATTTTATGTAGAATGCAACGTACAACAAAAAGGATGGTACATGTATATAATCAGATTACATAGAGAGTGAAGGGAAGATTGCTGCAACAATTTTCAATGGCCAAACCTCTTGTACTTTCTCCTTGATCTGTGAAGCCGTGAAAAATAAACCTGGTATCGAAATTCCAAAATAATATTTGCATTTATTTGTTAACACCTTCTCAGGTGTCATCTTTTCAGCCACATGAGATATTTTGTTTACATGTTTTTAGAGACACCTTTTTCTTTGTATCATAGAGAATTTGAATTTTCAACCCTTTAAATTTTTTGAACCTCTTCCATCATACGGGGTGTGCCAAAATAAGAACCAAGACTGCTTATTATGTTACCTACCAGCTTCACCCTAATGACTTACATAGTAGAATGGTAACCGGTCACTTCGGCACCTTGCCAACTCGGCACCTGCGAACTTGGCACCTTGTCAACTCAGCACCCACCAACTCAGCACCTCACCAACTCTGCACTCACCAACTCGGCACTCGTACAAAACCCGACTCATTACCTTGCTAACACGGCACCTCTCAAACTCAGCATCTACACATGGGCGCCGTACGCGGTAGATAGAGATACTGTTAGGATGGAATTTTCTCCCAAAAGTCACCGATAATTAACACCCTAAATGGATTAGAAAATAATGTTTACAGATTTGAATTTAATTTGATGCGTATCTCAAAGACCTTGAAGAGATGCATTTTACTTTTTTTTAAAGTACAGTGTATATGCAAGGTTTTGGGAAGTATTACTGGTTTGGAATCAACACCTCCAAGTCTTTTGACAAGAAAAGTTCAAGAAGAGTTTCTAAAATAGCTGTTTTCTCAAATAAGTATTTTTTTCGAGTGGGTGCCTAGACCACCACTGTCTTAGCTCTCCCAGTTAGTATAACCGGCTGGGCCCAGCCGGCATGGATCACCCCTCCTGCCCATAAGCTGTGACCAGTCGCTAGCGTTGCATGCACAGCAGGCTGGGCCGTATATTCGCAGAGCAATATGAGTATTTAGTTGGGCCTAGTAGCCACTCGGCTTGTTGGGTTAGGAACTCCAAGTTCTTTGTATTTCTTTTGCATTGTTGCTCCAAGTTCTTTGTAGTTCTTTTGCATTGTTACTTTAAGTTCTTTGGTGTTCATTTCAATTTTCACAATCAGTTCTTCATTGATTTTTTTACACTTCCCTGCAGCCTCAGAAGGGTTAGTAAGAGCGTGTTGTGCATGGCCAAGAAGAAGATGCCCATGCCCCCATAAAAGCCAGCTCTCAGTTCAGTTGTTGTCATCATCCATTCATGTTGTTGTCATTGTCAACAGGCTGATTGGTCCATTGCGGAGATGAATGCTGAGATAGGGGAGAGCCACGCCTACCTGTATACATCACAGACAGATGAACAGGTGCCTCCAAATTGATGTTGCATGAAATTTGGACTTGAATAAAGTTGGCATCCTTTACCCAAATGATGTATTGTGTACATTTCATACAAGATTTATTTGATTTCAGCTTCTAGTTTTCTAACAGACTAAAAGAAATCACGTGCTTTCAGTTTGCAAAGCTCATCTTTGTTTTGTTATTTTCGGTCACTTTTGTAGGCAAGAGTCCACTTAGTATTGAATTCTATGGCAGAAAAACATCATGTGGCCAGCGTTTCAAGGTGAGTTGCATATTTATTCACTGTTTTTAGTAAAGTTTTCAATTTTGGAGCAGGAGATTTTGCAAACCTCCAAAACAGTCTGTTAAAATATAGCAGTGTATTTCGCATATTTTTCTCTGAATTTTCTAAATCTTGTCCTGATCTCTTCCCCCCCCCAAAAAAGATCTGAAAAATCTTCTTTAAATCACTCAAATTCAGGAGATTAGATCTTTAAGACTGAGCCATTTCAAACATTCCACCATGAATTGCTCAGTCTCATGGTATGTTTAAGAATGTAGTCGCTATGTCAGTTTGAATGACCACCTCTCCATACTTGATTGGGCAGGGTCATGTACTGCAGACAGCAGAGCAGAACCACCAACCTGGAGGACTTGAGTTGCACCCCTTCAGATGATGAAGACATCATGGAAGAGGAGAGAGACAATACTGCAAATGAAGAAAGAGTAAGCCACCAAGCTGCACCTCTTCGCCTACTTTCACTTATCTTCAGAAATATGACGAGAATACATTAATAACTTCAATTTCTAGAGGCAAACGGGGAAAATAATAAACAATCAGTAGGAGGCCCAGAGGAATTTAAGTCTTGGGTACATTTTCCCATGTTGGAGGAAAAGTGATAAATATTAGTAAGTTTTCATATCTTTGATGTGGGTGACATGAAAAACTTAGGTTAAAACAACTCTTGCAAAGTAGAACTTTAAGGGGGGTCATTCAAACCACTTAGGGCCCATAGCTTTGCCAAAACATAAGTGTGAATGAGAGAACGGAACACAGAAAAAGACCTGAACAATGTCATCTAAATTCGCTTGTCTGTCTAGCTCATATATATTAATTTTTACTCCCATTCTATTCTGATGGAAGGACTTCATCCACAAGTTGGTGGTGCATGAGTTGCGTGTCTCCTGGACCAGGTTTAACAGAGATGCAGTGCTGGGACTATATGACACCTACAACAAGTCACAGGTGAGAACCAAATTTGACACAGAGGGCTGAGAATGGTGCTTAGCATTAGCAATCAAATACTCTTAATCTCAGATCACACCCAAACCTGAAAAAGACTATATCCGTTGACTGCATTAGCCAGGCTGAATCTGATCATCTGTTGCGTGCATTGTTGTAACTCTGTAATATCAAAAGCTGACAATAGATAGCCTCTTAGTACTGTTTTGGAGAAGGCCGTCAACTGAATTTGACCAGAATTGTCATCAGTCTCAGGAAGTCAGTGATACTGTTTCACTTACCAGCTTGAGTAACCATTTGCACACATTACTTCTTTGGTTCATCTTTCCCCTAAATGTCAACAATTCCTGGATTGAAGACCCCAAAGTAAAACTTGAACGCCTTGGTGCAGAGAGGCAAGTAGGAAGAAAGAGACTTGCTCAAGGTCAAAACATGTAACCACCTACAAGATTTAAAAAAATCACCCCTCTGATCTGGACCTACAAACCTTAACCACTACGCCACATGCCTTCACCATTACATGCCATTGTGGAGCTGGATTTTTTTTTGAATCAAAATCTTTGAAAATAAGAGTTGGAGTCAGCAGTAGATGGACACTTTTTGAAAAAATTGTGTTGTAGGTCATTTGAATGGCTTGTGGCTTGACTTGAGATGAAAGGACTCATAAAAATGAAGCGACTCGACTCTGCGAAAATTCAGCATCTACTCTCATTGATTTCTTCCCAGATGCTGAAGAACAATTTGTCAACAGAAGCCCTGAAAGGAGTAAAAGTGGAGAGTACAGCAACCACAGTGAGTACAATGCGTTCACAACACCCAGATGGTTTCAATTTATTAAATAATGTGGGATAGAAGAGATAAACATAATCACCGCGGTGGATGACAAATACAGTAAAAAAGATAATCGATGACTCGCGGTGTCGTGTTGCTGGTAGCGACGTTTCGGCTGCTAGTGCTGCTAGCCTTCATCAGGCAACTGAAGTCTGGATGCTGCAGGGTCCGCGGGGGACACGCGGAGGACGCGGTCCGACGGTATATAGCGGACCCTGCAGGATCCAGACTTCAGTTGCCTGATAAAGGCTAGCAGCACTAGCAGCCGAAACGTCGCTACCAGCAACACGACACCGCGAGTCATCGATTATCTTTTTTACTGTAATGTGGGATATTTTCCGATTTACAGTAGTTTATTTTTATTGTTACTGGTACACATGTAAGTGTGGGAAGCATGTCCAGGAATACAGGTTGGAAAAATCTAATATACATGTAAGTGTGGGAAGCATGTCTAGGAATACAAGTTGGAAAAATCCAATACACATGTAAGTGTGGGAAGCTTGTCTAGGAATACAAGTTGGAAAAATCCAATACACATGTAAGTGTGGCAAGCATGTCCAGGAATAGAGGTTGGAAAAATCTAATACACATGTTAGTGTGGGAAGCATGTCCTGGAATACAAGTTGGAAAAATCTAAGAACATATTTCCAGAACCAAAAGCATACTCAACAGTCATGATTTTTGATCTGACAGATTTACATCTTTCTGATGAAGGTTTTGCAGACTGTCAAAGATCTACCTTCACTGTTCCATGTAACAATTCGTTTTAGTTTAAAAGATTCATCCTGATATTCATGTGCAGAAAGACTCACCCGGACTTGAGTCTAAGTCCTTTTACAAACACTGAAACATTTTCTGCATATCATTTTTCCTGAAACTTTAATTTTTTATTCCTACCCATAAATCCACCGTCTACTTTCTACTATTCTTTCCCACATGATGTGTTTGACGTACTTTGTTGCTGATATACAAAATGTTTTAATTGTTCTCAACACAATACCTCGTTTTCTGGCAGAGATTGCAGCAGAATGTTGCCACACCCACCCCAAACCCACTGGCATCTGCTAACACGCCCAGTCCTATGAGTAAACTCCAGACGGGTCATGGTGCCACCATGCTACACCAGCTACTCTCAGAGACTAACACCAAATTCATTGTCTTCTCAGAAGAGGTCAGACTGATTGTTCTGTCTCTTTTTTGTCCTTGGAGTCACTTTCACAATGTCATTGTCTTTGCTGTCACTTTACAATTTTGTCATTACTAAATTTGATGGTTGGCTCACTGTTGCCCACATCGATTCCATACTGCATTTTTCTCGTAAAGAGTTGCCAAGTTCAAAGTTTTCTCAATTTGTCTGTATGGTTTGTCTTTATTTGGGTATTTGTTATTGATGAATTTTTAATTGATCGCATTGCCCCTGTTAAAGTTGGCTTGGATGCCACAAATTATGTTGTTCCTAATTCTTAAAAAAGGGCAGTGATAGCTTGTAATTTTGTTGAATGTTTGTTTTGGCTTTCATTTGTGCTGATTGCATCCGTTTTTTGATACTCCAGTGTTCATGCTTTAATTCCTAAAAATTGCATTTGTTACAAACTTTGTATCTTAACATAGCTTTTGAAGGAGTGACCCAATTTCTGATTGGCCGGACACTGCTTAAAAACATTGTTTGAAAAGTTTAAACAACCCAGTTTTCTGACTAAAGACCAGTTTATTTAAAGATAAGTGAATTTAATATTTCAGGGCATTTTAGGAGTTTGGGAAACAGATCCTCCTAGATCTTTGTTTCCTGGCAAATAATTTTATTTTTGGTCCTCTTTCTATCAGACTTCAGGCAGCAGTGACAAGCTACAGGGTGTCAAGGCGTGTACAACCAAAGATGTTACCATGAAGAACTGGCTCAGTAAGTTCAAACTATTTCCTTTCTGGGTTTTCAAATTTCATATTTATTTTTTACAGTCATGAGGACTTTCTGGCATGAACCACCCATAACTAGTTTTCTAAAGATCAACACTTTCTGCCCTTTCTTCTTTTCTTTTTACTTGAAATAACCTTTGAAAAGGGTGTGACTCATGATCTGACAACGACGTGTTGTACAAAAGCACACTCTGACAGGTCTTGGGTACATGCACTACAGAGTTATGAATGGCTTGGTGATATTTGTCGGTCTGTCTACTTCACACAAATCCATTAAGCATCTTTGTTTCTGTGTTTCGCTCGCTTTGCTTGGATTTGTCCAGTTGAGCTGGAGAACAGCCAGGTCATGTTGAAAGGTTGCGAAGCCTCGGGCTATGTCATCGTCTGTGCGTCCAGTGCCCAGGTTATGCATTGTTCCCACCTGCCCGCATGGAGGGAAGGTCACCTGACCAACAAGACCAGCTGGGTGGGCAAGTTGGACGGACTGCAGGTCAGATACCAGTCACTCTCAAATATACGAAAAGTTTCAACCCTTCCCTCTTTATTTTACTTACTAGATAGAGTTTTAAGGGTGGGAGGAATACCCCTTACAAATATTCCAGGAAAATCTAGGGAATCAGGTAAGAACTGAAAACCCAATCCACACCCTGATAGATGACATTAAAACCCCTGATCACAGAAATGGAAGGCCGTTATGCCAACCTGACTCCTCATTGTATGTTGGAGATTTCATGTACCAGTTTTCCCTCTCTAGATCTTTGAAAGGCAAATCTTATTTCTCAGAAAAGTGAATTGAATTAGTTTCTGTTTGCCTTGTATTTATTTCTTAAATAATTTTGTATTTATTAAATGATAATCGGGTTAAAGTGGGAACTGTTGAAATCATAAGCTGTTTAGGTGAAAGTTCTAGCTGTTTAGGTGAAAGTTCTAGCTGTTTAGGTGAAAGTTCCTAGCATAGGTTAATCACGGACTGATAACTTTTTTGTGGATAGAATATTTTCTGTACTTAGCGAACATCAGCATGTATTAAATGCTTCATTTGGGGGTAAATTTCATAGTATTTTGCCACTGTGGAGACACCTTCCTCCAGCTCCAAAGATGACGTCCAGTGGCTCCCCGTCTCCATCATCGAGCCTAGCCCCCAGCGGGTGACAGATGTGCCAGACATGGTGGGCAGCGGTGAGTCTGTGGGTGGGGTCGTCAGCGACACGGTGGGGGCATCGTTAGAGGACGTGGACCAGGAGTCGGTGCAGCTACAGCGGATTGCCTCCCGCTGCAGCTGTCAGTTCTACTACGCCAGCTACGGTGGGGAAGTGAGCCGCAGTGTGGCAGCCGAGATGCTGAAATCTGACAGTGGTCAGGTAACCCAACACATAGCTGTAGCGCTTGTGTGTTTATGTATCCATTCAGTTATGGACGTTTAACAGCAGGGACAACAGAGAACTCAGCCGGAAGAGGTGTATAATCGGAAAACTATGAAGTTCATGAAGTGAGCCAGTTCATGTATGACCCAGTTTTAGCCATCATGTGGAGAATACCCTGGAAGTTTGCAATTTCCTCTCAGCTTAAATAAAATTTAAAAAAAATAAGTGTGCACTTTCTTCATTGCCATTTAACATATGAAATTCAGCCCTTTATTTTTGGAAGTTCTGCTTATGTCTGAAGAACGTGAATGGAACTCCTGTGATTTTTTACTCATTGTATTTCTTCTACGCAGGATGAAGAGTCGGACGGTGTCTTCAGCAAAGAGGAAGCGGTAAATTCCATGACCCTGATGTACCATGACCTCCAGATGTGCACCAACTCGGCCCAGTATGCCATGATCTTGGACATCATAAACAATCTCCTGCTCTATGTTGAGCCCAAAGTCAAGGTGTGTCCACAAGCTATCGCATCCATGAAGTATGATTGATCACATAGTGTTGTTGTGGAGCTGGCTTAATGGATCATTCCCATGAAATATGCAAATTAGTCAGGTGCATGCACACTACTACCGCTGGTTGGCCAGCGTGGCTGTCAACACCGTCAGCAGTGTAGGAAACCTGCTTTAACCATGAACCTGGCACGTTGAAGGTCAATCAAAACCGTATTACAGCCTTTGTCCGATACTTAATTCAGCATGCTTTTCTCAAAACTAAGTGAAGTTTTCAGTGTCTTGAGGTTGGAAAGTAACATTCCTTGTCTTTTAGTTTGGCACTCATAGTACAGAAACGGTGTGTATGTGCTCATGGTTGCGCGCATGAAGATTTGTATTGTTATGTCATAGATTTAAGCAAGTATGCCACCAGCGGTAGTAATGCGCATGCGCCTCCCTTATTTGCATATTTCATGGGAAAGATTAAATAGTTGTACTGTTTAATTCCCAATCATTGGGTGAGTGTTTAAAGTCCAGAAGCTGGACATCTTAGGTAACTCACTTCACTCCTTACATCTTGGAGTACCAATGGGTATCTGCAAGTGCAGAGACGGCAATACTGAGCTGTGTACTCCCTGGAGGCTAAGAGAGTTTTAGGTTTGTGGTCCCAGTGAGCAAAGAGGAGTAATGATTTAGAACTGGTGGATATGTGCACTTTATGATTACACATCATTATTATTGTGTTATTATTCCATGGTATTTGTTGGATTCTTACAAATGGGTCATTAGGGAGACATTTTGTGGTAAATTTTCCGACTTTAGGGAGACATTGGTCATTAGGGAGACATTTCAATGTCTCCCTAATGCTCCAGCTAACAGGAGGAGGCCGAATTTTACTGTCCAATTTTGAGAGATGATAGATTAGGTTCTAAATTGAAAACATGCACAGTTTGGTTAAGATTGGATTAGGGAATATTGAATTATGGGACAGTAAAGTTAGAACAATTTTTTGCACATTCTTATGGGAATGTCTTCCTAATGACCCATTAGCGGTAATTTTATTATTATTCTCCTCATATTTCTCATATTTAAGAGGTGTTTATTTGAACATGTCAGGAAGCCATGGCGAGGATGCAACACATGCGGTTTGCTCTTGAGCTGTCCAGCATTGATGACCAGAAGGAACCAATCATGCAGTTGCAGAACTCACTCAGGTATTAGACTTTACACCTCAGAGACAGGGCGGAAGACTCAAGGCTATAACATGTAAAGACACTGGCCATTCCAAGATGGAGAGTAGTCCGTTGCTGTTCAGAATTGTAGCCCAGTCTGTCAAAGGTTTGCTGCGCGTAAACTCACTAGTCCGAGACTTCAAGCCATAAAGTGCAACAAAGGATTGCCCTCGTCGCACTCAAGTGTTTCACATGCTTGACTTGAGACTGGTGGACTTGTGACTGGCTTGTGTGGTCCTGCAACTTTTTGACAACACTGTTACCCTTGATCTGAACTCTCTTTGTGTTTTCACATTGCTTACCCCAGTTTCCTTAATGGAGATTTTTCTTTCCTTTATCAGACTTCCATTTTTTTCGGCATTCAAACTTGCAAAGAATGTAGCACAAAGCTCAAAAATTGGCAAAAATATTGGGATTGAATTATTCCTATTGAAATTTATTTTGCAAAAAAAAGAAGAATCTTACTTGAGACTGAGAGCATTGCGACAGCCCATCATATAAATGCTCTCTGAATCAAAGTCATTTTTTCGGTGGTTCTCTTATACCGAATCCTCAACATTTCACATGAATTTCTGCAGGAACCTTGTGTTACAGCTGCGGCAATTGGAGAAGGATCTGTATCTGGCCCAGAGAGCACTAGAGGAATCCCCTTCAGATCAGAGGTAGGTGTTGGATCAGTCACACATCTGGGATGCTCAGATACTGTATGACCGTAAAGTGAAGGAAAAAATTTGAAGCAACAGTTGGTGGCCAGACATTTCAACCCTTGCTTAATCTGTCCCAAAATCAGCATAATGCCAGTTGTGAAGTACTAAAGGGGAATTGAAATGTCTAACTTGAATTATTTTACACATACTATTAAAACCTGTTATTTTTCCTTCAAACTCGGCAGTTTTCAGTGTTGTTTTTTTAACCTGCTTCTTTTATTTTAGTATGCTGGGTCAGATTGCTGATATCGAATTACAGGTCAATGAATGCAAAGAATCCTTGGCAAATGCCAGTGAAGACCTCAGGATCATGATCAGGTAATGTAGATTTTTGTTCATCTTCACCTCTTTGGAATGAAAATTTTATGAGTCAGAGTTCCTATATATATATGTGCAAATGAGAATATTTAACAATGTTACCTGGATTTGGAAACAGATCTTGTTTATATAAGTGAATTCTAATCAAATGGATATCAGTTTGAATTCATGTCTGCTTTCTCAAAAATTGAAATGTTGATTTTAACATCTTAGTTAATCAACTTCTCCCACATTATAAGTTTGCCATTTGGAGGTTTGATTTTTTTAATGTATTTTCATGAATGATAACTTACTAGAGTCTCATTTTTAATTTCTTTTTTTTTTTTGCAGTTGTTTCAAAGAGATTCAGTTACAGAGGGCTGTGAAGAGGAAGTTACAAACATGTAAGTCGTCTTGAGAACAACTGCGTCAAATTTTTCAAAGTCTTGGTCATTGCTGTTGAGTACAAATTGGATGGGCAACCATCAATTAGGCTAAATTCAACTATGCACCTTTTGTCCACGACAAGAAAGCACCTTTTGTCCAAGATGGCACACCGTCCTTTAACTTTTTGTTGATGGAGTGATGTATAGCTTTAAAAAATAAATTTGTCTTGGCAAAGTGTATCTTCAAATAAACACAAATTAGAAGCACTTCCGATGTCACAAACCATCGGCATCGAAATTTACCAGATTTAAAATGCAGTCCACTTTAATGAATGCACAACGTAGTTAGTATCCTCGCTCTCCAACCCATTTATAAATCAACCTTGTCTCTATTTCTTTTTACTTTGGTCCTACCGAAACAATCCAGAAGTTAGAAGTGATGATTAGTTAATAGGTCAGTCTGGGTCTTCCCTTTCCATTTTGCAGCCCAAGGCCCTCAGGTATCTCGGCGTGTTGAAGTGTGCTTTGGTTCAGCTAAGTGGAGACTAACCGAGGAAGATGGGCAGCTTGGAATGGCAGATGTTGAACTCAGACAGTTCAAGTAAGAGTCTAGATTTTTAGGCATGGCATTGGTTTTAAAGTCCTTCCTAACTAAGGCCTCACCTTTACTTCTTGATATGAACTTTAGTTTGGAGTTCCAATTGAGCTGGTTTTATATCTAAATAGAGCTGTCATAAATGATGGTTTTTGATAAAAAAACGTTTTCTTTCTCAACATTTATGAAGTAGGCTTTGTTTTAAACTGTTGTTTGTGATCTTTTGGTTTTACTACAGAATTTGGAGTTCTATGACAAGCCCTTGTAGCTCTGTTTTGGTCTTGGTCTGCACAGTTTCTTGCTGTCTTAAGTTTTGTACGTGTTCATTTTTAGATACACCCGCACCACCAAGAACGATGACTCCAGCGAAAATCTGGCCGAGTTGGGCTGGGTGACCATCAACAATCTCCTGGCCAATGATGTCTACAAGGATGTGCTTAGACCACAGGACACCAGTGGAAAGACCAAGCAAGTTGCCCTGAGGGTCATTGCAAGGGGCAAGCCACCAGGTCAGTACAGGTCATAGCCGTGCCATCTGGTTATTGTATAGCCACAGTCATGCTAGCTGTTCTACATGTCATAGCCAAGGCCAAACCACAAGTTGAGTACAGGTCATAGGCACTGTTAGCCAGGGGCAAGCAAATAAGTGTACACTGTCTTTTTGGTCAAATTTTTTAATCTCTCAATCTTCTCAATTGACCAGCTTGGTGTGCTGTTTGTCTTGTAACATCAAGCTTACATGTATTTTAGCCTTCTATTTTCACATGGTATTTTCTTATTAGATATTCAGTCAGTAGGAAAATTTACCGTACGTTTCAGTCCCCATAGTGAAGCGTTTCCCTATCCAAAAGCACAGGAAGCAGTGGTAATTCTTGCTGATCCACTTCACAAGGTTTCCTCTTTATTCTGTCATTCTCCTGCAGTTGGTGGTATCTCGGTCCAAGAGAACTTTGAGCTGAGCGTGGTTCCTCTGACCATCCAACTGACGTACAAGTTCTTCAAAAAGATGATGGGCTTCTTCTTCCCAGGAAGAAATGTGGACCAGGAGTCAATACCAGAGGAGCAAGGCAAAGGTCGGAGGTCAAAGACAATTGAGAATGGGCTTTGATCTATGCTGGATTGACATTGTTTGGATAGAGCCCTGGGTCTTTGCAGTTTTAATAAAACTAAAAACTCCTTTTACTCTCTATTTGTTGAGCTTGAACCCGGCATAATGCTTCAGACTATTCTTCAAAATCAGAGGTCAGAGTTGAAGACAAAGATATGATTGCAGAATTCAACCTGAAATATTCTTGATTTGTTACAGTTTTAGACTGTTCAGATGCTGATAAGAATGTCATCATTTAACTTAGGTTTCTGATGTAATCTTCATTCCTATCTTTTCTTGCAGGTGGTGGGGATGATGAGTTGGATGGCCTGGGATCATTCTCAAGGGTATGATATATTGTGGGTTATTGTATAATTCATCAGTTCCAGTAGCTATGATTGAGCTCTTTAAAGCTCATCAGCATGACTTATTAATACGACTCACTGGAGAGGGCATATCCATGGTATATGGCTTCAAGCCCTGTCAGAGGTTTAGAGCTTATTGAAGTTTTTTGACAAGTTTCATTAACTCTTAAGAAGAGAAAGATTTACTACATCTGCGAGTCCAATCTTGAGTACTTATGAGCTGGTTATCTCATTCTGTGAATTCAGAACTCTTTTGTATGTTGTTCTAAATTTAGACGGGTAGTATCAGGTCTACAAGCAGCGAGGAATCAATCACCTCACCAAGAGATTCCTTCAAGGTATTGTCTGTATTTTGGTCTCACCTCTTTCTGATATATACTTATGTTAAATGGTCTTCATTACCTTAAAAACTGTTGTCACTTTCTTTTTTAATTTTTAACTGCAGTTCTATCTTTGCAAGGTGACCCTTTCAGCTGTTGCCATTTGTTGTTTCTGTTATAATAAATCAATAATAAATTAATCTTCCTTTTGTTATAAAGCTGTCATCATGTAGGGTGTGTGGCCTAATTTCTGTAACTGCTAATTAAGGATCGGCAGCTTGGATTATGTGTTGTGATGTAATTTATTCCCACTTGCCTGTGTCCACCAAGGAACATAAAAGGGTACTTTTGAGTGTAGAGACAGCTGCCGTGTTTGCTTAGCCATTTGTGCACTGTAACTCCCCAGGGAAATGAGATGGATTTGGGGAATGTTTCTGGGCCCAGTGAGCAGGGATAATGATTATATAGCATCTTGAGGCACCACTATCGTGGATATGTGTGCTGTATAAATATTCGTTACTTTTTTATGCTGAGTAATGTGGTTTTTTGTTTGGTTTTATTTTCAGGGCAAGAAAAAAGGAGGAACTTTCCAGAAGCTGAGGGAGTCAACCATCATTGACAAGATGAAGGCAAGGAACTCTTTTAATACTCAAAGAAATGTGATGCTCTAAAAAGAGACGTGACACCATGAACAGTAAAAGTGAACGCTGCATTTTTCAAAATGATTTTTATCCAAATTGCATTTCCTTCTATTTCACTGTCTTTTTATTTTACTCAATCTAGGAAAGAGCAAGGAACAACATGTTCTACATCATCAAGATCCCCTCTGTGCCACTGTGTGTCAGCTATAAGGTGAGAAAATTAAAGGGGTTGACATCATCATTGAAGTAAGCTTGATTATCAAGGAAATGGATTGAAATTGTTTCGATCATTCTCATAAATCGTTCATTTATAATTCACATCTTTTCACATTCTTTTCACTATCACCGTCCTGAAAGGGTAGTTATGCTTATGTCAATTGCCTCCCTGTCTTAGTAATGTCCTCAACACTTGCAAGAATAATTTTGCTCGCACTGTGCATGATCCCTCGAATCTACCTACGTTATATTGCTTAAATTATGCCAACTACGAGGAGACAACTGTTCCCCCATTTTGGTCTTGGCAGGGAGAGAAGGAGAAGAACATTGAGGACGTGCATAACTTCCACCTAGTCCTGCCATCCCTGGAGTATCACAACTGCACCTGGACCTGGTTGGATTTGCTCATGGTGCTCAAGAAAGAGTACAAGCAGGCACTGGTCTCGCAGGTGATGAATGCACCCTACCCTGCAATACTTTCTCCCTGAGGACCAAATTCCTGGAACTGTATCCGAGCATGAGACTGTAGCTCACCAACCTTTGGCCTTGCAAAGCAGGCTGTTGGCCAAAATGTCATGTGATGTAGATCATGTTTGACTGGTTCTTTGCTTTCTTTTTACTCAGAATGTTTATTTGCCAAGCAATTTCTTCATTGTAAAGATCAGCTGTGCATTGAATTTGACGGAGTTATTCTGCAGAATTTCAATTGCAATCCCTTGAAAGTTATTCAAGTTTTCCTTTAAGCGCCCAAAATTCAATTTCAACTGGAAATGTTTATACTGAAATTTCTCATCCAGGTTTGGATTTATCTTTCAACTACACCGACTTCAGTTATTTTACTCCAATTTAATGTATACTAATTCTGTTTGTTTTCATGATGACACAGGCTATCAAGGAGAAGTTAAGGTTTAAAATAGGACACAAGGAAGAGGGACCATCAAGCTCTGACGCCAGGTGCAAATTGATTTTATAATTTGGTTCATTTAATTTTCATCAATCCATAGATGAAATTATTAATGAAATAACTCCTAGAGTCACAAGTGAATTTATCAAGTTGATTAAGCTCCGTTTAATCCATCTGTTCAGAAATTGATTTGGAGAATACCATGAATGATTTAGACTGTACTTAATCTAGTTTGCCAACTTGTTGGAAGACTGTCGGTTAATTTATGGACATTTGGGTTGCGGACTTACAGAAGCTTGGCTTGCTGACTGACAGGCAGCCATTTGGCAGGCTGGTAGACATGGGGGGGGTCACTGGCATGCTTGTTGATTGCTTGCTAGACTAGATGGATTACTCCCCAGCCTGGTGACCAGCTAGTTGGTTCAAAGGTTGATTGTTGGTTTGTGGACCCTGCTTGAAGCCAGTCTCTACTGGCTGACTGACTGTCTTTATAAAGCTGCCTTCAAAACACTGGGCTCTTGTTGGCAGTAGTTTCTGCATCCATGGCAAGTTTTTTCAGCCATTGTCATGAGCACATTTTATTTCCAGCCGTAGGCTGTCTGACTTACGTTTCTTGTTTCTGTTCTTTTCTTCCAGAGAGGATGTGGACAAGGCTAAGTTACTGATGGGTGCCAAGGTTACCAATATTGTAAGTACGGAGAACCTAGCGAAATTTTGATTGTCACAGATGTAAATTAAATTTGCTGGTAGCTACTAAGAAAGAGATCAGAAGCTCCTTATATGCCTCCTGTTTACCCAAAACAGAGGAATTCCTATGGAAATATGCTTGTAACTGAAAGTTTCTGCTTTTCTTTGTTTCCCAGGCAACTGAGGAGAAGTCATCTTCAAAAAGAGCTCTTTTTGGTAAAGGACAAAGTAACCATTAAAACTATGACATGAAGTTACTAATGACAATGGTACAGCTACTGTCATTGGACCTGTTGGATTTCATTTTTTGTGTTTCTCCAACCTTCATGTGTGTCTTGGCAATATCAGTTTTCACTGTAGTAACTTTTGTAGTGAAACACAAAATGTGGCCAAAGCATTGTGTCTGCTTCCTTGACTCCATTATGTTTGTTCTATGCCTAAAAGCTGTACTATCAAACAACGACCTACTCACCTTGTATTTTGCAATATTCAACTCTGAGATTGATATTAACACTGGAGGCATTTGACTTTGATGATGAAAGCAGAGAAAAAATATCACTACATATCTGTGCAAAGAAACTTTATTACAAGCCGTTGTCTTTGTTGAAAATAGCTTCTCTTCACAGTTATCCTTTGGCACAAATTTAAATAAATATTTATTTACCTGGCTAAAAATTTTGTATGTGAAATATGTATCAGATGATAAGTGTATTTTTCTTACTATCTGGCAGAATTTTACATCTGAGTATTCAGAATTTGTAATCAGCCATCATAAGCTCAGATATTTTTTCAATATTTCAGGTTTTATGATGGCATTGTAGCAAAAAAAACACCTTTTTATGAAACACTTTCTGTTTTGACATTAACTAACTCATCAAATTGTATTTGTCATTTTTTTGCCTTGCCAAATCTTTGTACAAGTTTCAGATTACCTGTACAGAGTTAATGATTGATCTGATCATTGGATTCAAAGATTTATGTGAAAAAAAATTACCATCTTTGGACACAGATTATGTACTGCTGAGAAGTAATTTTTGTAAGATGTCTCCAATAGCTATTTCAAATTTTCAATTGTAAACTGCTCCCTGAAATAGCATTTTACACTTTTGGCCATTGTTATTTGGTTCAATTAAGTTTTATACACAAACAAGTAGGTTTTGGTTGATTTTTTTAATCCGATGTTTCTATTATTCAAAATTTTATTTGAAAAAATATCAGAATTTTCACTGATTTGTAGGTCTGATGTGTACTAAGGAGAGAAAATTTGTAAAACAGTTCAAACATTTTGGTAATGTTATTCCCAAAACCGGATCCACACCAAATTTTTTTTCCAGGGGGAGTGAGGGCAAAACAAGTAAGCAACGTCCTGGGTGCACTTTTGCATGAACTGACCACACCAAGTACAATTTAGCAACTGCTGAGAAACATTTTCCTGAACAAAATGGCTCTATCCATACATGTACAAAACGCCTCCATTTAAGACACTTAATATCTTCACTCCAATTGATAAAAAACCTCATTTTGGGGGGGGGGAGGGGCATGGCCCCCATTGCTCCCCCTCCCAGCCGGATCTGCCCTATAACCAATACAATTTATGATTGATACGTGCAAATATCCTTTCACATGGGGGTGGGGTGTTAAGGTTATTCAATGAGCCGATTTCATCACTTCCTAAATGCTTGCACCGGTAATGGGCAAAAGCGTGTTTTACTTCAAGCTTGCCAATACATATTCCTGTTAACGAGTCATCGTATTCATAGCAATATGGGAAGAACATCTAAATTGATCAATAAAATGGTACACTCTTTAAGACGTTTTTAAACTTTAAATTTGAATTAAATGGCATCTTAATTAAATGCCCTTTTCTTTGTCTAGTAAGAACTTTGTAATCCATTTTTCAGCATTGTTTAAATTCTTTAGTGCAATTTGCTTAAATGTTGTGGATATGTATGCAATTTGGACTGTCCAGTGCAACTTTGACATCTGTAACGTCTTTGAAGAGCAAATTTTTTGTGATAGAAGGAAAAGATGGTTGCCAGATGAATAAATCAGTCAGAACAGTATTATGTTCTTAATTGTGTATCTGAATTTTGATTTATTTTTGCATTAGTCTACCCCAAAAGGAAATCTTATGCCTTTCCAACGTAATACAGTGGCTCACTACAACAGATTTTAACCATGTGCTTCTAATTCATGTCGCATTTGAAACGTCGCAATTTCTAGCAAATTAGCTAACCTATAATACATACTTGAGATCTCTGCTTGATGTTTGTATGTTGTTTTCAAAAGTAGATTTGTTTTCAGATTCTGACCCAATATGGGTCAAGGCAGAGATGGGAGGTGCTCTGAACATTAGAGAGCTGCCCATGCCAAATGGATACAGGAACTCAAATTACGGGAGTTTCCTACATATTATGTTGACTTTGTGTGTAGCTCAGTTCATCACCCAACCCTCTCCCCAAAATACACACTCTCCCGGCTCAAATTGTCTACTACTAGCTCTATTCATATAATTATTGTATAGCAAGCGTAAAACCGGTAGCAGTCGAAACTGCCCCCCCCCAAAAAAAAACCAAAAACATTGAAGAGCGACCTCTGTGGTCGAAGTTAGGCAGTTTTGAAAAATGGCACCACCACGTGGACGTAAACGCGCGGCAGGGAAATCAGAGGGCAACGACTCGGAAAATGATGCTGTACAAACCGCGGAATCTCCCAAGAAAAGCAAGAAAGACGACGGTGGAAATGCCTCGGCCCCGTCTGGCAAGATTCGAGTGATCATCGAACACTGGTAAAAGAATTATTTCCGTTGTTTTGGGGGGACAAGGTCCGACTTGGGCCTATAAACGTCGGCCAACTCAAGTTACGCATGTGTGTTTCCTTGCTCTGTGCTGAATCCATGCTCAATATTTGGAGCCTACAAAATTCTACAAATGTCCAAAGTGCAAATATAACTTCATCAGGATATCATCGGCCAAATTTAGGTTCTAAACTTTTGCACCTAGGCATACTGAAGTGATGTGTGACAATGAAGTCAATCATGTCTTTTTAAAAAAAATTAATGGAAGGACTAAAGAAGTTAATAAACTGGTACAGCTGCATGTCAATAATGCATGTCCAACATTATTATAAGATTGACCACCACCCAGAAGTCTGGTTGCATAGCTGTGGAGAAAGTATTTAGAAATAGAGACAAGGTACCAGTTCTTTGGACTTTCAGTACAGAGGCATATGAAACTGCACTAGTCATCTGGTCCACGGACGTATATTAAAAACGCCGTGTTGTTACAGCAGCCATAACGCATCTCCCATTTTCTGTCATTACGGCACTGCAACTGCGCAAGCGCGCCAACTTTGCGCATATTTCGGACTTAATTTCCGTCTTAAAAAATGCTCCAAAGCCTACGATGAGAAAAGAAAAAAGATTCCTGCTTAGGCCTAATTAGAAACCAAAATAAAAAACAATTATGGCATAAAACATGAAATTTAGGCGAAAACATATGGAATCAAACGTCTCATTTAGAGTGCTCCCATTCGGTATAAACTAGGCAGGCCAACGTATAAGTCTCCTTCTGCATTTTTTTTCACTGCATTTCACTGTTCTCGTTGATTGTGCATAGCTTCTTCCCGTGGATTTGTGAAAAACATGATCTAAGGACAATTTAGATCAAATATACTAGAAATTTAGGCCTATGCACAAATTTTATGTGAGTACATGCATCTTTGAAATCAGGAATGCAGTGTAAATTGTCTCACACGTTTACGCAATGGGAAACCATGCGCTCGAGCGAGAGCCGTGTTTCGTGCCATAGGACCGCCCACACGAGTCATGCAACAACTTTGTTCACGCGGCTTATGCAGTGTTATGAGAGTTTAAGTTATGAATATTCATAATAAGCAATGCTTTTTAAGGACAGGGCTCCACTCTTTTGCATTAGTACATGCTTATGTGAAAATAACACCCGCTTTTTCTCCAGATTGCGCGAAGTGATAAAATGATATCTAAATATAGTAGCAGGGACAATACCATTATTTTGCAGGGGTGACGTATGTTTCGCGCACTGTGTGGATGTATATATACATAATGCAAACAGGTACATTGTGCATGTACAGTAAGAGTGCACGCTTAATAGCGTGCACTGTTTTGTTTTGGGGGATGCAAGTCATGCAAATAATATATACCCAATACACTCTTGTCAATTAAAGTAAATGTACTAGAAACAAGATTTATTCTTGAGAAATCTCAGAATGTTCACAACAAACTGAACTGGTCATCACGGAAACTTCAAGTTGAATTATTTATCTTCCATCAGATCACAACAAAATACTTTTATGCATGTAGTAACAAGAACTCGAACTTTTAAGTGATTGGAATCACAAACACAGTTTTTATCTCAATTATTTTTAGAATTCTAATTAACTTCAATCCACTTTTACAAAATTTCACAAAAAGTATGTAAGCAAACATTGATTGGATAATTTCAAGAGCAAAGACAATCATCTGTTTATAACTTGTTCTAGAACTGGTTCATTTTGACCATACTGTCATGTATAGGTTGCTTTCTCTTAAATAGAAGCAGTACATTGAGACAATGCTGTTTGTCAAACTTTCATGTCGTACAATTGGAGGATTTCAGATTGAAAAATTATTAAACAGTCATTTATTTACACTGGTCTAGCACCCGTTCTAATTAGGACTTGAGGAGCAATTTTGGAAATTATTGTGAATCATAATTCACACTTGCAACTCTAGCTTTTTGCTTGCCCATAAATTTGGATGACTGCAAAACATTTTGACAATTGTTCTAAAAACTTCTACGTCGTGGGGTTTGGAAAATTTCAAAATGGAAACGATTAAGCAAACAATTATGACCATACCCAGGCCTTGATCTTTACCGCGGCCACTGCGGCCAATGGCCGCGTTCCCTTCCAAGTTGGCCGTATTGCCCTTCCAAAAAACTCAAATGTTGCGGCCACCTTGGCCAGTGTTCCCTTCCCTGTTTGCAGCCAGCTGCATGTGTAATGAGAGTGTACCATGTAAGCCAGTGCACGCAGTACGATTCAGAATTGGGGAGAGTTCAACCTTTTGGACTACGTTAGAGCGAGCTACTCGTACTTACCCGAGTACTAGCTATCCCAAGTGCACGAACAGCTGGAGTACCATCCTCGGGTCAGCGAGAGTATACTCCCCATCACAGAGGAGTATACGCCTGAACCGAGTGTAGTAACTCGGGTTATCGCGAGTAATCGTGCGAACAAAGCCTTGGATATCATTATCAACCCTGCACCGGTGAGTAGCATATTTTAAATGCAAATTTGCACAACCAAGTCGGAAACCAGGCGAGCGCTTATTGTGTTAACAATAAGTTTTGATCGTTTGCTAGCCCCAGGCCTTTATCTCAAAATCATGCCGTCACACGATCATATAAAGAAACGCTAAAAGGACGCTTTCTTACGGGAGGGCTCAAAGTGCCAGAAGCTTGAAACCCTGTTTTCCAGAAAAAGTAGGGATTATTATTAGTATTTATAAACTTGTAAACTCTGGCAAAGTCGGCACTCAGTCTTGACTCGAAAAAATAATGACTTCGAAATGCCGAAATTTGCTGCTTGCCGACTTACGTGGCGTGCTGCCTTAATACCATCCATATAATTCAATACACCAGTTTAATTGCTTTGATCAGCCCTGGTTTATTTCTATCTCCGTTGTCAATTCAGGTAAGTTTGTCCTCGATATTGATTATCGCTCCGTACTGAGGACAACCCGTGCATGCCATTTGTACTGACATAATACTAGCATGCACAGCACACATGTTACGCACTGGTGCGTACACACAGGATCTTGGGCCGACCGCAAGTAAAACTTCATTCAATAGGGTGACCCCCAAAAAGGGACAGCGCATGCGCGTGCACTAGAGGGGGTACTGGTATTGGTGCAAATATTGGGGAGACCCCTTTGTGGTCACGCTCGCGCAATGTACATGTACATGTACGTACTGTACATGTACGTACATGTAGGCCTACTCCACGTCAGTATTGACAACGAAGCCCTGGAAATCGATTGTTTGTTTACAGCCCACTTTATACCGAGGATTTTTTTTTGAGGTTTTGTGGAAAAGGAACCGAGAGAACATGCCAACTTGAACGAAACAACGGCTTATAAAGGCCCACTTAAAAATCATCCATGGAAATGCATCAACACACGATCGGTACTTTTATCAAAAGGCCGACTTACGAGTTGTACGATGTCAACTTGACCGGAGTTTTCCACAACCATTTAGCAAACAGTTAACATTTTAAAAGGATCCCAATTTCATTTAAATAAAAGGATAAACACTATTTATTATATTTTAAATTTAGTTTAAGGGGGTTAGGAATCCTTGAATTCTAATGGGAAAGGGATACAAAATCTAAACAAGCATTAAATCAGAGGCTGGATTCAGAAGGAAAAACTGTCCGGGTAATTGTAATTAATTAAAAATGAACATTACAGTTTTATACAGAAAATGCGACAAATAATAGCAGCATGATAAACGCTTTTTATTGAAGGGAGATGGCATGCTGTACAAGAACTGAACAATAGCTTAAAGGCCTACTCATGGCATGACTGGTTTTCAAAAATGTAAATTAAAGGTTTCAAAATAATTGGCGTTGGTGCCCCCTCGAGCTGGCCTGGTGCCCTGTTGAAATTTGATGAAGGCAAGGCCAAAGTGGCCAGCCCCTTTTTTCCTCAAGATCGAGGCCTGCATACCGGTACAACTTGGTCCAGCCCTTGCCCTAATTATAACTTGAAGAGCACTCTGTGAACTTATTGTGCATCAAACTTTGAATTTCACCAGTTCTTCCCTAGTACCTCCGTCTGAAGAACAAAAGTACACAAACACCAATGAATTTGCGATAGTGTTGGCGTATTTCGGCCCAAACAGTGGACACACTTTCACCCAGTGCCCGTTTTCACCTTAAAGGTTTACATATATATAATGATCGCTTAGATACATGTACAAACGGTGACACAAAATTGTCTTCTTTTGTTTGTGTGCAAAAATACCATTACCTTCTTTCCTTATCTTTTTCCTTTTGAATTTAAACTCAGGAATTCATACTGCGAGTGGAACATAAGTGAGCTAGTATAGAAACTAGCGTCTGGTTTTCACAAGAAGGCAAAGTTGTTACTGGAACTAAAGATCGTGTTACAAGCTGGCTACGAAAAACTCACCCCTTGGATGAGAAACGTAGGTCTGACCCATGGCATTGCAACTTCGTCCCAGACAGAACTAGTCTTAGTTCCCTATCTTTTCCCCGCAAAACTGTCTCAAACTTCTACATAACCTAATTGCATTTCATAAACCTAAAGATTTTGATACTTTTAGGAGTTCCTTCATACCTTCCTTAACATAACCATCTTTAGCATTCTCTGTCTTCCATCTTCCATGTCTTTTGAAGACCCTATCTGGTACAGGCTGTGCACCCCGAACGTTGAAACGTCGTCCACCAAAGGACTTAATGCCTGTAAGATAATTTCTCTCACACGGGTATACGACATGGGTTGATTCAGTTCCCTAAGTTTATAACCCCCTTTGACTTTCAACAAACTACGGAACACAAAAGAGCTAGCATCTTTTATCTCAGCTAATTTGATATATTTCTGAAATAAATATACTGGGCAATAACCACATTCGCACTTGCTCAT